CAAGTGACGAGCTTAAAAAACGTCTCGATTTGAATGAAAAATTAGTTGAATGAACACTGAATGTTGTAACAATAACTCATAAAAACCAGGTAGTTTGACGAGGGTTTTTCGCAAACAAAATGTTTATTTTCGGAGCAAGTTTTTTTGCTGGTAAAATAGTGTACCACTGTAAATGAAATTGTACATTTTTTTTGTATGCCTAGGGTATTTTAGAAATTTGTTATTATTAATTGTATTGTGATCTGTTACATTTAAAAATTCTGGTGTTAAAGACAACGCATTGACCTTAGTCTGCTTGAGCCTTCTTTTAAGCGTCTCCAAGGACGTGGGAATGACCTTGCAACTGCGAAATTTCCGAAGCCATATGATCCAGTATCATGGGAGTAGAACGTTTGCAATGTTGCTTGAAGATCAAGTGACCAGCATTCCGTATATTCGTGAAGCAATACAAAGATTAAAAACTCAAGGAATCGGTGCTTGAACAGCTGAGATCTTGACGAAAATTTGACACAAATTATGGTCAAAGTCGTTTCAAGACATAGCGAGATCCCTAGCCCGCATTTTGCAGAAACGACCGAGATTTTTAGGTTCGAAATTAGCCACAAAACTGCCCGTGTTTGGCGTACTCTAGATCGTTAAATATCTCAGCCGTCCTTGAAAAACGCAAGCTAAAATTTTCAGGAACTGATATGTCTCCTATACCCTGAGTGTGTGCAGTCGTACTTATGGTACTTCTCTTGTTACGGTTCTTGTTCGAAAGTCAGTGAAAATAATTCAAACTTTTTTGCGGCTTGATGCAGGAAATTTCTCCGGATTACTTTTCCAAAAGGTTCAGTGAAAAATTAATTTCTAATGCACGAACTTCGCAAAGATACCGCCAAAAATAGTCAATTTTTCTCTCTAACCGCTTTCCGCAATTGGAGTTTTCTCTCGTTGAATAACTCGACTGCCTTGCGAAGCCCACACCAAAATTTCCAAGAATTATCTGACCAATTGTGTGTGCAATATTCAAAAAAAAAAACCCCCTGAGCGTCGCACTTTTTTGAACAACGCCACAAAGTCTGCTGTGATCTCATTCTCAAAACGAAAGTGGATTGATCACTTGGCTGATTTCTTATGATGTGTTCAACTACAAAATTAGTTTAAAATTGTTTGATACTAATCAGTTTTTTGTTAACATAAACCTTGGGTGCAAACTGACAAAAACGCGAATGGGAATTTCAGTTTACACAGTTGAAAGTGGTGGTTTTTGCAGGGAAATTGTAACTTTACCAATCGGGACGTTATTTATAGAATCTGACCGGTCGATTTGACTCGTCAAGATTAGGCAGGCAATCACCACGAAGACGATTTTTTTTAACTTTGCCGTAGCTGCTGTCATTCCGCAAAGCCACCTTCGGCAGGCCGGATCGTCATGTTTGGTCCGGCCGGGAAACTGATCTTACTGGGATTCAAAATTGTAGTATTGGCTGTATCAAATAAATATATTCCTTTTGCCCAAGAACAAACAATCCTTGTAAAACAAAGCAATGAAAAAACGAACGAACTTTCTCGACGACCTAGTACAATTTTAGGGTGAGCTGGATTAAAAGTGGGTTTCATAGCCTTTTAATTTTTTGCGAGCGTTAGGTTGGCTAATTTGGGGCAAGGGTAGTACAAACCCCCAGTCCAGTCCAGACCCCCATGACCCAGTACAAACCCCCACATGTTATCTTAACCCAGAAGCCTTCAATGAAAGCTTGATGAGAAGGAATGTTGTAACGGGCTTTGGACAACGGTTTGGTCTAAATCGTTGGGGGCTTGATCTAAAACCTTGGGGTGCTTTATCTAAAACATAGGGGGTTTGACTGACTCTGACTACTAAAGCGCCGCTAAATTTTGTTATGCCAGAATATAGCAAGTCTGTCCGGGAAGCAGTGATCACAATCTCGCTAAGCCAATCACGTCGATGAAGTGAGAAACAATTTGATTTCGCTGCGGCACAATTAATTTTCTTCGCAGCGATGCGATTTTTTGATGCGACAAAGTGCTCACCTTCTCACCCCTTTCTCCCCGAGTCAAGCGCGGTTGAGACACCGCGCTCGACTCTGTGTTGCAAATCAAAATTTTGCTTTTCTCCCTTGCAATTATCATCATTATTTACATTTCCGAATTCCGCAGAGTTCAATTTACACTGCACAATAAATCTTCCTTTCATTTATCTGTTTCTGGTGCGTTCTGAGTGCAATCACGTCTTTCAACGAAACATTTTTCACTTTGTTAAAACTCCTTGATTGCTCTTTAAAGTTGCCCAATATTTTTTGTTTTTTGACTGTTTGAAACCCATAATTTTTACCGTTCTCTGGTTGTCAGTAAACACATAAATCCAAGAGTTTTTAATGCCTCAATCGGAAGCCTGCAACCACCATAAAATTTATTGTGAACGTAGACAAAAAGTTGTTTATCGAAACGCTTCTTCGTATTGGCGGTCAAGTTGTAAACTCGTAGTATAAAAAACATGGGAAAGCGGCGATTTATAGGTTTGTGATGTTTTGATTAGCGTTCAAACATCTTTTTTTTCAATCCAGAGAACGATATGGGTGTTAAGAGAGGGATATTTGCAACAAAACGGATATCAGTCTGCCCAGAAAATAATGAGCACTCTGACACATCAAAAACCGCATCATCATACGGCTATCGGTTTGTCGGGAAAATAACGGCGGATCGTCGCGCCTCGGAATCGCCCATCATCGCCCTGCGACTGCAAGCCGCGACTTGGGATTTGGTGCGCGATAGCGGCGAGGCGAGACATTTTGATGCGACGATCCGCCGTTATTTTCGCGACAGACTGATAAAATGAATTGTGTCGTGGAAAAATCAAAATGCTTTTCATTTCAGTGACGCGATTGGCACAGCGACATTTGCTCATTATTTTCCCGACAGACTGATTAAACAGCGTAAGACAAGATACAACGCTTCTGACTGTATCCAGGAAGCATTCAGAATACCGCCAAACAACTCCTTCTTCAATTTGAAAACAGCGTTCCTCCCAGGAGAGAGCCAAGAGCTTCTTTCTTGGAGAGAAGGAGGGAAGAGTGAATGCTTCACTTACAAGAGTAGTATGACAAGTGCGACGTTTACATTTGCTTTAAATTTGGCATAAATCTTGGGCATATGCCGCATTCCAATCCATGCAAATTTAAGCTCGCGCTCTGCAGGGGTGGCTGAGATATTCAACAATCTTTGCGGCCGAGAGAGGAGGTGTAATGCGCAGAGCGGCGCAGCCATTTGAGGGAGTTTACAAAATAAATCATTTTTGAACTTTTCTAGGCCATTTTTTATGCCGTTGAAACAACGACCGATGACAGGTCAGGCTGATGAAAGCCCACCTCTTCCATCGACGGGAAATTTTGAAGAATTTTGCAATCAAAAGTCTAGCAGTCTTTCTTCCCGAACCAACACACCATTCGGTTTGGGATTTAAAACTCCGCTGGAAACAAAGCTATTTGGGTGTAAGCGACAGCCCAAAAAAACCTATTGCACGGTGCAAAAAGCATGAAATTTGGATAGTGCAAAGTGAGCTGTTGTTTTCTTGCAGTGCATGCCGATAAAATGACTCCAGCGACTTTGCGAACGGAGTAGTATTGGCGATGATCTTCAAAATTGGCAAAAATTATTTTTTTGGAAGAAAACATTTTAACCTTGGTACTGTTATGCAATTTCTAATTGTAACATTTACATTGACGCCCTCCGTTTTTCGAGTATCAAATGACGCTCCCTTTTCATCGACAAATAAATCAACCACAAAAGTTGCAGAAAAGTGTACATTAAACTAGTGTAAATTTTCGGGGTCTGCTGTAATGTTGGCTGCACATTCCTGCTGAATTTAATAAGTTAGGGTCATTGCGAAATTGTGAGCCACCGAGTGTGTTTTTCTTGACTCATGACAGATGCTATTGTGATATTACTGTAACTTTTCTAGGACAAAATACCGCATGATTCGTAAAAAGATTCACAAACTCCCACGGTTCGCACAATACATCATCTTTTCAATTTTTTAGGCCATTTTTTATGAGGTTGCAACAACGACCGGTGACAGGTCAGGCTGATGAAAGCCCACCTCTTCCATCGAATGGAAATTTTGAAAAAAAATTGCAATCAAAAACCTAGTCTTGACATGAGCAAGGCCTGTAGGCGTGATGCTATAACCTACCATTTTTCAGTGGTAGGGTCAAAGAACTTGCCGCTTTAGCCTTGATATGTCTATGATTACCACAAATTTCAAATCAGGTGCCCTTTCAATTAGCTTCAAGCTAATTGAAAGTCATTGCTCTCGTTATTTTTTATCTTGGAATTCATACGATTCTGATAGTAAGGTGTACTTAGTTGCAATGGACGACGGAAAAATTCATTGGTTAAAGATGCCAGTCTGCCGGAAAAATAATGAGGACCGCCATGACCATATCACTGAACTGAAAAGCGATTTGATTTTGTCGCGATACAATTCATTTTCTCCACGGCGATGCGATTATCGAAGCGACAGAGTGCTCATTATTTTCCCGACAGACTGATAGCATTAGTATATCAGAGCAATTTCGTTGTTGGAGGTTCACTTTATCATATAAAACTGACCCTTGCGGAGTCAGAAATTGGTGGTTATAGACGGGTTTTGTTGTATGGGAGTTTGCTATACAAGGGTTCTACTGTAAATTGAAAAATTTTGAAAAAGCCCTTGACATTTTTTAGTAAGTACAACGCTCGCAAGGAACTTTCTTTTCATCGTCTGATCTCTTCATTGTTTGTAGTCTCTCGTCTATAAACATCGCTCGATACCCCCTTTAAATTGGATACAATTTGATCCCCGGGTAAAACTGTAAAACGTGAACATTTGATGCCCACTATCATATATTCCTCAATGGGTCAGAAGACTTCCAATCACGGTAGAAATTAGAAACGAGGCCGTGGATTTTCCAAATTTTTTGACTTTGATTATCATACTCAATGACAACACAATTTCAGCCATGTTGATCCTGGACGATTTCAAATACTTGATGTGCAGCTTGATGCCAAGGGAGAAAAAGCAAATTCGAGTCGAAGTAAGTTCAAAAACGGGAAATTTGGGGCTAAATACAGTGCAACTTGTGCATAAAAAACTTTTGTACAACGAAAGCTCCGTATAACAAACATTTTCAAAGGTCTCAAGCGTCGACTTTCGACCGAATATACCGATTTTAGACCCTGTACAACGACGCACATTTTTATAACAAATAATTTGATCGGTTTCTCTCCATTCGTTGTACAAAGATTTTACAGACGTTTATTTCCTCCGTATTTTACAAAAAAATTCAAAATTTGCGCAGTTTTACCCATCTTCCCAAGTGTTCGTCCCAATTTCTCTCTCGTAGCGCATTTCGTTTCCTTTCAAAAACCGTGGGGGTATAGCTCAGTGGTAGAGCGCCCGCTTCGCATGCGGGAAGTCAGGGGTTCAAACCCCCTTACCTCCAAATGTCCCATTTTTTTGTCTTTTTTCGCAATTTTCAAAAGTTCTTTGGTTGATTTTTGATCAAATTAATCAAAAACAGTCTTTGAGGAGTCTTTCATCTTACACTTGATATGCGGACGGCTCCAATTTGTTGTCATCTTCCTCAGAATTTGACCTTTGTCCCCGTCATTCTGACGAAAACACCAAAACTTTTCACCGTCTTCCATCGAGAAGCCCACTAAAGCCGGCTGTAATAATTTCGGGCCCTATTCAGTGCATTGAAACTCAATGAACGTTCCCATCCATCTTGCTCACGTCTGACCCCACCCCATACGGTGGGGGGAAGAGCGGCGTCTTCGCGGGAGGCGTTCTCATTCGTTGGGGGGACTTTGATCCGCGTTATAAATAGCGCAACCGGCATGGAGATGTTGTTCGTATACCGTGTTACAGCGGGATTCACGTTTTTTGCGGAGGGTGTAACGTGGGTTACACTCGTATTTACCCTGTATAAATAGACCGGTAATTGGTCTATTAATTATTTCTTATCAAAAAAAGTTATTCTCGGAGAGTTCTTACTACAAAAATCGATACGATTCTTTAAATCTCATCATATTGCGCAACAAACTAGCTAAAATTTCTGGTGATTACTATTATAATTACTAATCAATATTCAAAATGGGGTTCAACAGAATACGAGACATTGACGCAAACTCAGACACTCAACCCATATTACAGCTAACGCCGTGGCGATCGATAGTTGTTGGCGCCTTCTTGGAATGTTGTTTGGGCCTACAGATGTCTATGTATTTTGGACCAGCATGGCCATTTCTTGAACAGGTGAGTGGAAGATTACTATTCGCCTCTCCTCATTTTTCATAGTTTCTGGCGTCGTGACAACTCGGTCGCTAGTACTAGTAGTATTAAAGTAAATATTAAAACTTCGATATAGTCTGTCGGGAAAATAATGAGCGCTCCGTCGCATCGAAAATCGCATCGCCGCCGAGAAAATGAATTGTGTCGCGGTAAAATCAAATTGCTTTTCACTTCAGCAACGCGATTGACGCAGCGACATTGGGTTCATTATCATTATTTTCCCGACAGACTGATATCTCAAATTGTCAGACGAAAAATATGGATCCTTTGCGGAACTTGACTCAACGGTTACCCAAAAAAGTTGGATCGGTTAGCCAAAAGCTTTGCGTCAAAGCCATAAACGTGCCATACAAACATTTCATATGGAAATTCAGAGACGATCGAACTATTTGGCTAGTCATTGCGACAAGTTCCGGAATCAATCCGTTTTTTGGCTTGCAATGGTGTAAGAGGCTGTCGGGAAAATAATGAGCACAATGTCGCTGTCGCTGAAGTAAAAAGCAATCTGATTTTGCCGCTACACGATTCATTTTCTCGACGGCAATGCAATTTTCGATGTTCCTCATGTCAAATTGAACTTTTTCCGGAAAATTTTTGTACATTTTTACTAAAAAATCAGGAACTAAATTTCCCCTTTTCTGTAAAACGCCCGATGAAAAAACAGTAAAACCAGTTACGCCCAATATTGACGGTATTTATCATAGTCTACGTTAAACTCAGTCAGAATTTTCAATGTAGCCAAAATGACGAAATTTGACGCTAATTTGACATCACGATGACGTCAAGCTGAAAAAAATCCGGTCAAATTAACAACCCTATTTCAACTTTCTATTATATTGGGGGCCTACACTTGCCGGCAACCACTTTGCGGGCAGTTTGAAACACCACGGAGATTCTGCGGACATTTTATGCAATCAGCTAAAAATTGCTTACAACTGGAAATTCAAACGATGGGCTTGGTGACTAAATGTTGCGGATTAAGTTTCAAGGTGTATAAGAGGCTTGAACAGTAATCCCAAGCTTGTCCAGGCATATTTTACTATTTTTTTGAAAACAAACTCCCATAACTTTGAAAGCAGTGGCTAAATTTAATAGATTTGTGTACTTATCACTACCAGGATGTTGTCAATGTAAAATTTCTGTCATACTACGCAGATTACGGGACGGAAATTATAATTCTAATCAAAAAATGTCGGCTGGCCGCAAAGTGGTTGCCCGCAAGTGTCGCGACGCCCCATATTTACTTTGATGCTGGTTGTCCAGTAAAAGTAAATGACCTACTGGTATTCCATTGACCATTTTCTCCACTTTCAGATCGACAAAACCGCAACCGAAAACTTCTTCGGCTACATAATCGCTGCGTATTCACTGTCGCAAATCCTGACCGGCCCAATAATCGGGCACTGGTCTCAGACTCTGCATTCAATCATCATGCCCGCACAAGCCTGTCTTTCGCTAACCCTGATCAGCAACCTGCTTTACATTGCGATTCCGGCGTTCCCCGGCCACTGGAAGTATGTGATGTTGGTGGCGCGTGTGCTCGCGGGCTGCGGCGAGTGTGTCATGTCGATGACGAGGACCTATTCCGCCACAGCGAGCTTGCCAAAGGACCGACAACGGGTCTTCGGGATCTGCTCCACCGGCTACGGAATCGGGTTTATCAGCGGGCCCGTGGTGCAGCTGATGTTCGACTACCTGGAATACCCGGGAATTGAGTTGTTCATGGGCATACGTCTCAACATGTACACGGCGGGACCGGCGTTATGCGCTGTGATGACGGTTTTGAGCATGTTTATGCTGGCGTTTGTTTTCGAAGAGCGCTATGCGGGCCTGGCCAACATGAGGAGGAACTCGGAGATCACGGTTAAGGTCCCGAAATTCGACAAAGTCGCCGTGTTCTTGTGCTACTTGACTCGATTCTGTCAACTTTTTGCATTCAGCAATGCTGAGGCGTGAGTTTTTTTTTTTGTAAAATACGAAGTTTTTTCAGAAAAAGCAATTTACAGGGGACGTCCTAACTCCAAGTGCGACGCTCAGATTTTCATGAAACTTGGCACCAATTTAGAACGATTTTTGATAAGATATATGCGAGAATCCTAGCTCGCGATTTGCAGAAACAACCGAGATTTTTAGATCGAAAGTCGGCCAAAATTTAGGACTTTTTGCCGAATTTCGGTACGAAAAGTTTTATGCCTATTTCAACCGTAAAAGATAATATTTCTACAAAAAATCAAGCTTTTCCGCACGAAACTGCCAAAGTTATGGCCAAAAAGCGTTTTTCTCTCTGACCGCTCTCCATGTTTAGCGTGCTCTCTCTGCGGCAAAAATCGTTGGATATCTCGGCGGCGCCCGCAAAGCGCGAGCTAAAACTTTCAGGAATTGATAGTTAGTCCACACCCGACGTGTGTGCAAAATTTAAAGAAAATCCGAGCGTCGCACTTGGAGTACTTCCCCTGTTAAAAAAATATTTTTTTTTTCAGATTATGCTTCTAAAAATGCATTTTTTTCAGATTAGGCGCTACATTTTTGATGATAATGTTCTCGAAAACCAACGCAGAAGCTGTCGGCTATTTGGCCAAGGTGTATGCCGTTCAAGGCGTACTGATTTTGATGACATACCTCATGTTTGTGTTTGTCAAAATGGAAAAATTGTAAGTTGGCTTCAAATTTCCAGCTATTACTCTGATCCATTGGCAAAAAACGTATAATTTTGCATCCGGGAAGTATCAAAAATGTGGCAAAATACCTCCCATTACAATAAATAAAAACTCCGTTTTGAAATGCGCGCCCTTTCAATCACAAAAAGAGCTTTTGAAATCGGAGTTTTTTTTCACTTGGAGAGGGAGGTATTTTGCTGCATTTTTGGTACTTTCCGGATGTAAAATGGTACGTTTTACGTTTTTTGCCAATGGATCAGGCCCGCCACAGTACAGCAGGCACGAAGAAATCCACAAAAGTATCAAAAAGTATCCATTTCTTCAAAAAACTTAATTCACAACCAAAATTTTCAAAAAATCATGGCCATTACAACAATCATGGTCAGAAGGGAAAAAATTCCAAGATTTTTTTGAGAATTTTGGTTGTGAATTAAGTTTTTTTTGGAAGAAATGGATACTTTTTGATACTGTAGCAAACGTCCCTCAAACAGTGTCTAAATAAGAGTTGCAACAACGGCCAACACACCAGACTTTAAATTTCAGCATTGAATTCCGAAAACTAGCGATGATCTGCCTTGGAGGCTTCTTACTCTACCCTCTGATGACATTCCCCTGGCCCTTCCTCTCCGGCCATCTCCAAACCTACACCGCCGCCGATGTCCTCGCATTCAAAGCGGGAAATCTGACGCAAGAACCGGTGGGATGTCCCAAACAGCGTTTCAGCTGGTGCGATTCCACCCCGCCGATCAATGAGACCCTCTTCGCCGTCGCGTTTATCATTTCTTTGGGATGCTTCATCCATGCGCTGACGGTAACCCTGTCTACGTTGTTCTCCAAGGTCCTGGGACCTCGGCGACAGCCGCGGCAGCAGAGCTATCTGCAGGCCAGCGGCAGTTTGGGAAGAATGTTGGGACCTATAGTCATGAGGTGAGTTTTGATGAATAATATTGCAAATTCACTCAAATTTTGATGGTTTAATACCCCTTTTTTGCTTCTAGATAATAGAGTAAGGTCTTAGCTTTCGATTGAGGCCCATTAGTTATAATATATTTTATCGCCTTAGGCATTAAATGAAGTTTTTCTCTGACTGCCCCACTTTTTCATAGATTTTTCCATTTTCTCACAATTTCAGGCTAATTTGACCTTGGAAAAAGGCTTAGCTAGTCTATAAAACATTAGCATTAACTTAGCGATCAATAAACAGTAATATTTCACCAATATTCCTTCTAATCCACCTACTTTCAGCAACTTATACACAATTTATGGGCCTAAAATCGCATGGACCTTCGAGCTCGCGGTTCTTGGACTCGCGCTACTCTTATGGGTCGCCTTCTACAAGCGAATGGTCCCTCTGCAAATCCCAGAAGAGCTAGATGTCCACAAACAGAAGAAACCGATCGAAAACGCCGCCTGAAGATAGGTACATAAGCTAATGTATAGAACTGGACGACGATTGCAATAGTGGCCTTACCGTTGATTTTTGTAATCGAATAAATTTTTAATGACCTAAACAGTTGTTTGCAGTGTCGTTGACATAGTGAAATCGCCAAAACAAAGTGATTTCGCAGAACATGGAAGGTCCGGGTTGGTCCCGCCACGAAAACAAATAAGCGCCAACCACTGAGCTCTGGCGTTCCGCTTCACCTCAATTTATTTCCCGAAAACGACCTTTTGGCGCTTCCACGAGATAATTCCCCTTATACTGGCATGTGCGCTGATCGAGAAGAGTGTTATAAGTAAGGAGAAGGTGGAAGATTGCTGGTTGGAACCCGGGCGCCTTGTTTTTTTATCGCCATCCGTTTGTTTTCCTAATCAATTTTTGATACAGACTCCAGGCGGGTGTTTACGTGCATCTTTATGGTGGTTGTTTTTTGTTCCGCCATCACTTGGAGATTCTCAGTTGTTTTCGGGACTCTAAACTTTGTCTTTTTGCACTATTTTTGGATATTGTTTTAGGTAATGTCCGAAAGTTTGTCAGGTGTTTTTACACAGCATTTCGGTGCGTTGAATAAAATTTACAATTCTCATATAATCTGACGTGTTATTATGCAAAAGTTGCGGTTTATTTCTTGCAATTTCCTTGTTTTTTTCAATATTTTTATATTGCACTAGACAGGAATTTTTTATTTTTTGATTTTCTCGATGTCTTCCTGTTGTATTGACCACTTTTGAGCTCTTAACTCAAATTTGACTCTGTTCCTTCCATTCTCAAACTTATCCCCACCAACTAATCCGCGTAATTGACCCGTCCAAAATAAAACTTCTTTGACGCCTAATATTGTTTTAAAGGCCCGAAAAGAGAGTCGGAGAAACGAGAAGTGGCAGCGTCCCGCTTGGACGACACCTGTGGGCCTTGCCCTTCATCTTCTCCTCTTCATTCATTCAGTGGAATAACCGCAACATAAAAACAAATGGCCGGGAACTTTTGGAAGAGCTCCCACAGGTGAGTAATTTACATAATTGTTGGTTGGAATTTAGGCAATGCACGTGAAAGAGGCCTGAGGGCGAGAATGACCAATGGTTGATGGTTTCTGGTCATTGCGGGGGTGATAATGAAGTCTAGAGTTCGGAATTTGGGAAGCGTTATGTCTAGTGTAATATCGTCGAAATAAAATTAAATTTGGTGGCAATTTTGCTAAATTCTTATTAATTATTTAATGAAATAGAATATGACAGCTAAATCATGGGGTTTTTCGAAGAGTCAAGTTGCATTTTGCGGAATATTTTGATTTTTTTATGTTTACATACCTAAAATAAAATCTATTTTGCAGTCAACAATGGGTACTTGAGAAGAGTGACTTGCTCCGTGATCGGGCCGATGATTTGAAAGCTTTCAACTCCGAAGATGACTATCAAAAAGTCATGATGTATTTTATAAATCGTGAGTCCTTCAGTATGTATGTTATTTATGACAAAAATTTTCAGTTATTCATCAAGTGGGGCGAAATATTGATGGTCGAATACGCCAACATGCCATTGCAACGGCCTGCACGTATTTTAGAAGGTTTTATGCGAGGTACGTAGTGAATTTTACATTATTTTACTTTGATGTTTAGGCGGTCATTCAAAGATATGGATCCGTTTTGTCTGGCGGTAACATGCCTGGTGTTTGCTACAAAAGTTGATGAATTTGGTATGATTGGTGTCACGAAGACGATTGGAACTCTTCAGAGTTTGCGTAAGCCAAAATTCATTTCGACTTTTTCAATTTGATACCTAAAATTATATAATTTTTGTAAATTGATGTTTATTTTCTACGATTTCAGTCCAGAAATACCCTCAACTTGAGAAGTATGCCATTCAGAAGCATCACGTCGAAGAAGCGGAGTTTATTTTGTCGGAAATTATGGATTGCTGCCTCATCATCTACCATCCATACCGGCCCCTAAACGTCTTCGTGCAGGACATGAAGGCCTTCGGAATTGCGGAAAAGTTTGTCGACACAATGTATCAAGATGCCTGGCGCATCATAAACGATTCGCTGCGGACGGATGCGGGCTTATTATTTCCTCCGCACACAATTGCTCTGGGTAGGTCAAGTTCAATATTTTTTTTCGGTTTTTAGATGCGAAGTGATGGAAGAGGCGCTCAAAAAGTCCGAAATGACTTATTATTTCATATTTCAGCTGCGATCATGACCGCCGCTCTCTTTTCCCGCCGTGACAACGAGCTGGTCGACTGGCTGGCCTACCTCAACATTGATTATGAGAAAGTTTTCGAATGCCAGCAGACATTACTCGCCTATTACCGACTGGAAAAGACCTACAAAGAAAAAGACGTCGTGGAAGAGTTGGTGTTGAAGAAAATGCCCAAGCCGAGTGCCGTAAAACCGAAGGAGAAGATGGAAATTGGAGATATTTGAAGGTGTAGAGTGCTCGCTGGTCTCTCAAGAAGGACTGGATGTATATACGGAATGATTCTTTGGATTTTAACAACTCTATTTGTACATATATTCATTTGAACCTCGATTTTTTTAATATTTTTTGATTTTTTTTTATTTTTTACAAGTTTTAGCTCCAAATCACCTCTAAATTCGACGATTTTGATGTCTGACCCAAAAAGAAATGTCTTTTTTGCAGTTTCTATCAGTTTTTCAGCCTTTTTGGAGTCTAGTGTAATATAATGAACACGAATTTTTGGCCTCCAAACAGCTAAAATTTGTAGTTTTGAGATTGTTTTTGGAAATTTTAATCGAATTTTTACCTTTATTTTTGGATTTTTTTGTAAATTTAATTTACTTTTTATATTGTTTTTGACCTCAAGGCACTACAAACACTCTTGATTTGTGCCCATGAATGTGATAACCTCACCGAAAGAACCATTACATCTTAATAACCACATGATAATCGAATAAAATTATTTTTTGGAGGTAAAAGGTTTTAATTATTGGTTTTCAACCCTTGAAATATCTCTTATTTGATTTTTTTTATTATTTTTGGATCTTTTTTAAGTTTAATTTGGTAAAATACGGTTGTTTTAGTATATTTTTTATATTACACATGACTTGGAATTTTTAAAAATTTTGGTTTTTTTTCACTAAAACTGTTTTTCAGAACCTGAAAATGGCTCCACAAGACAAATCACAGCAGATAGCTCAGCTATCCATGCCCTCGTACTGTATCAAACCAGTTGGATTGAGACATTTTTTGGTTGGTGGAGGCGGTGGCGCAGCCAAAACTGGGGTGAAAAATGAAATTCAGGTGGGTGTTTGGATTTTAAAATGCATTTTCTTGGCTGTTTAGGGTGGCTGGAAGTGCTGGGAGAGTAATAGTGGGGTTTTCTGGATTTCTAGGAAGATTTTTTTTATATTGTACTAGGCAAAAATTGGTGATTTTTTAAAAATGGAGATGATTTTTGGGAAATAGATGTCTTGAAAAATTAAGATATTGCAGTAGAGAAGTTCTGATAGATTTTTTGTTGATTTCTGACACCTTTTTTATATTGTAGTAGGCAAAAAAAATTGGCGGTTTTTTAAAAATGGCCGTGATTTTTGGGAAATAGATGTCTTATAAAGAGAAGATATTGCAGAAGAGAAATTCTGGGAGATGTTTTGTTGAATTTTTGAGACCTTTTTTATATTGTACTAGACAAAAAATTTTTGATTTTTTAAAAACGGTTAGGATTTTCGGGAAATATATGTCTTATAAAGGCATGATATTTCAGTAGAGAAATTTTGAGAGATGTTTTGTTGATTTTTGCGACCTTTTTTTATATTGTAGCAGGCAAAAAATTGGCGATTTTTTAAAAATGGTTATGATTTTTGGGAAATAGATATCTTTTAAAGACAATATATTGCAGAAGAGAAATTGTGGGAGATGTTTTGTTGATTTTTGCGACCTTTTTTTATATTGTAGTAGTCAAAAAAATTGGCGATTTTTTAAAAAATGGTTATGATTTTTGGGAAATAGATGTCTTATACAAATTGTACAAATTATACAATTGTAAAGGCAAGATATCTTACTAGAGAGATTTTGAGAGATCTTCTTTTGATTTCTGACACTTTTTTTTATATTGTAGTAGGCTAAACTAAGGTGATGTAATAATTTCTCGAATGTCGTTATGTTTTGCTCTGGGTTGTTTTTCCCCCTCAGATGGTCTTAGGCTATCTCCTCAAGCTTTTATTACCTATTTACCCGCCGTGATTTGTAACTTTTTTTATATTGTAATTGATGAAGCCCCTGATCTGGGGTGACTCGCTTGTGGAATGCTATTTTTTTCGATTATTTTTTTTCCAATTGTGAAAGGAATGAGAAACGGAAATCAAATGATCTCAAATGCATGAAGAAGAGTCTTGGGGGGAAAATAAACAGAGTGTTCATCGGATTCAACTTGAAACCGAGGCGAATTCTTTTGATTTTTTGGAACTTTGGAAGAAAGGAAAGGTATTTTTGAGGTTGTAGATTTAGTTATCGGTAGTTTGTGGGAGACTGGGATGTTTTTCCAACCTCAATAGAGCATAGGTTGGAGATGGAGATTGTTTTGTTTATTTTAGTAACATTTTTGGTGATTTAAGCCGGAAATTATGAAATTTAAAGGACAGTTTGGATTGCGATTGCTTTAGAAGGTGAAATGGGGTGTATTTTTTTATGTCTGATAATTTTTTTTGTTCAAATAAAGCGGGTTTTTAGATAAAATTTTGATTTTTATCTTGTACTTGACCTACAGTGGCGGGCCTTATTCAGTGGTAGAAAACGTACCATTTTGCATCCGGGAAGCACCAAAAATGCTGCAAAATACCTCCCTCTCCAAGTGAAAATGCTCTTTTAGTTGGAGAAGGAGGTATTTTGCTGCATTTTTGATGCTTCCCGGGTCGAAAATGGTACGTTTTCTGCCACTGGATCAGGTCTGTCGCTTTAGGTCAAATACAAGATAAAAATCAAAATTTTATCATAAAAACAGCTGTATTTGAACAAAAAAAGCAATCAGACATGAAAAAGTACGTTCGGTTTCACCTTCTAAACCATCTGCTGTCCAAACTATCCTTAAAATTTTAGAATTTCCGACATAAATCGTCAAATTATATATGTTTGTTGAATTATTTTTTTCTTCAGATCTTCCTACTGACCTACAACTCGCTTTCGAGCATCAAATCCTCAGCTCTTCCACATCTCCGCGCCAAACTAACAGCCAGTATTGACACCCAGCTAAGATGCAACATGAACTGCGATGTGTTGTCGATCCAGGCCGAAGATGGCAGTCCAATGTTCATTTCCGCTGTGGGACAGGATGAGGTGGGTATTTTAATTGATTTAGACCTCAATTTATGAATTTTTCTCTTGTTTTTTTAATTTTTTTTAAAATTTTTTCCTGAAAAATAAATTTGGTGCCATGAAGTAATGTCTGCCTCATATTTTGGGCTATGAATGCAAATGAGGCGTCTTTGGCCAGGCTTCTCCTTTTTGCCTGCGGCTATTTTTGGGAATAGGTCAGCAGTTCTTTTTCACGTGCCGCCTGCCCGCGTGAGATAAAAGGCCAAATTTATGGACCTTACTTAATTTAGCCCTGAAGTTGATGCAAGAAATGCGCGAAATGAATCGAAACACTGAGATGGATTAAAAATAGAGACCCCAAAAGATGACATGTCAAGATTAATTTGTTTTTGGAACGATTTTTTAACGGAAATTTTTGAATTAATGGGGAAAATGTCTCAAATAATGTTATTTTTTGCAGTTTTGCCAGTTGTATCTCGCAAAAGGCTATGAATTGGTTGGAGAAGAAGAGGATGAACTCGAATCCCCTTCAAGACTTTCCTTGAATTTCAAACCGATCTTCAAATTGCGAACAGATCATGCCAATTCGGACCCTTACCAGGTAAATTTTGGTGAAGATTTGATGGATTTTTTATGATTTGGAAGTGTAAGGATGAAATGGGATGTTACAGGATTGTTTATTATACAATTTACAGCATGAGAATTTATGAAAAATTATGTTTTCTTCGTTTTTTTTGTTTCTTACGTATTTCCGTCTTTTTTCGGATTTTTCTCCAATTTTTTGATGTGTTTGTGGGGTATTTGAAATTCTTATAAAGTTATTAGGCCCCAGAGGGCCCTTCGACTCTTTTTACGCATGCATTTCAATGTGATTTCCGCTCGAAAAGCGAGGATTTCGCAGACTTGGCGGGTTACGAAATTGGGCACTTTGGAAATTCGTTTCTCTCTTTCCGAAACTGGAACGTTGACTTTGAGAAATGAATGGATAAGGAAGGAAGGAGTTGTTAGGTTATTGTACACAAAAGATTTTGGCCATAGAGCCCTCGGGGCCTCAGGGGGTTTTTTGTTTTTTGGAGCAGTTTTTTGTTGAAAAATTGGGTTTTTGGTCATCTGAATTGAATTTGATGCAGTTGCCCTTTTGGAAATGGATTCCGAATCCATCAAGATGTGTTCTATCCATAGGATAGGCCGAATTACACTCGGCAATAACAAAGAAAGTGCACTTTTTGGCTCTGAGCTCAATGAGCCGCGACTTTGGCTCGGAGCTGAGCATCCCGGCCCAAAGATCGTGACAGAAATTGCAAAATAGATATGAAGACATGTTGGTAATAAACAATAATTTCCATATCTTGAGGAGAGGAGCCGCGAAACTGTTACAGGAACGGGGAAAAAGAGAACACGAAAGATTTTCTCCTTTTCCCCGTTCCCGTAATATGATTTATGGCTCTTCTCCTCAAGATATGGAAATCATGGCCGTCAAGTTGTTGGTACTAAACAATGATTTCCATATCTTGAGGGGAAGAGCCGCAAAACTGTTACAGGAACGGAGAAAAAGAGAAAACAAAGGATTTTCTCCTTTTCCCCGTTCCCGTAACAGATTTATGGCTCTTCTCTTCAAGATATGGAAACTCTGACCGTCAAGTTGTTGGCAAATTAGCTGACGTCATGATTCACCCCAATTTATTGGGGGGAATACATAACGGCATGGATTACCTGGCCGTTATGTATTCCCCCTCCAATTTCCCGGGGAAACCAACGCAAAAAACAGGCGATAAATTAAAAATTCCAACTGTTTTCGGCGAATGGACCCTATCCTGTGGTGATGTATGCGCCGGAATAGCGGAGTACGCAACAGGCACTCACGGGCCAAAGAACAAATTGGCGGGCGGCGGCCGGTCACGCATCCCGTCCTCTTCCCCCAACCCCGTCGCTCGTCTCTCAATTTTAATTACAAAAGTCGGCGACGAAAACAAGTTTAATTAATTTAAAACCGACCACCCTACCATAACCGGAGAGGAATCAACCCAAACCCTTTGGGCATTTGAAAGCGGCCGAAAATCCCAGAACCGCCCGAAACAACCCCCCTTCCGGCCGCGCTCCCCCCGTCCGATGCGCTCTTTTTTTTGTTTTACTCGGGTCAAACGAAGGTTTTTTAATTTCTTGTTTCCTATTTTTGCTCATGGACAGGCGCTTTTTGACATACTGGGAATGCGAATTTCCTTTTTTGAACATGCCTTCTTGGAATGGATAGAGGTTGTGAACTGTGGTCTTCTTCTTGTGGTCTGTGTTGTTAAATAATGGCTTTGTTGATGTTATCCTAGTGTTCCAGTTGTTTTAATTTACTCGAGAAATATACTGCAGTCCTGATCCAGTGGCAAAAAATGTGCCATTTTGCATCCTGGAAGTATCGAAAATGTGGCAAAATGCTTCCCTCTCCAAGTGAAAAAACTCGTATTTCAAAAGCGCGCCCGCTCTTTTGTGAGGAAAAAGGGCGCGCCCTTCAAAACAAAATTTGTTCACTTGGAGAGGGAAGAATTTTGCCACATTTTTGATACTTCCCGGATGCAAAATGGTACCTTTTTTGCCACTGGATCAGGTGGCCTACTGCATTTCAATTTGACTCGAAAAATGCTAGTGCAATTCGGCCGCTAAGTCGCTGTAATCGTCTTCTTATCTCGTCGTTTTTGGATCGATTTGGAATAAGGTCCCTCTTTGTCGCCTTCGTCCTATATTGGAACTGAATCCTGCGAATACAAGCTGTGATGGCATTAAAAATTGTCGGCTTCTTCTTTTTCGCAGGGTCCAAATAGAGTGGAATATAAAAAGAAGTCCACGCTGCCTCTCTTCGTTCCACCCCCCTTCAAGCCCGCGTTCATGCCTATTTTGGATACCAGCTCCAAAAATAGTCGAGTTACGGTATAGATAATTGGCTCATGAACTCCACTCTTTCTTTTTTTCGGATTTCACGATAATTTCGCGGAATTCGACCAGGTGAATGTAATCCTTTCGCTTGGAATATTGAATTACAAACACCAGAAAAGGCGAAGGAACACCTGTGATGTTAATTCCGACCTTTTTTGGGATCCAAGCTTGCATTTTCGAAGGGATGAATTCCAATGTTATAGTGCGAATAACACTTGAAGTGCGTCGGAAATGGCTGAATTAGAGGTTAGATGGGCTTGTTGACTTATTTACTCATGAGAAGCCTTGGATGTCGTCGTTATATGTGTCCTTGTTGTTTTTCTCGGATATGGTTGTTTTGATGGGCGCTCAAGGAGATCATATACCGTAATTAACTGACAAATTGACGTATATTGACTTTGTTTTTCTATGTGGAAAGAGATTGTTGTCATATGGTCCTTTGGGTTTTATAGCGCTTAGGATTTGGTTTGAACCCAATGAGCGACCTCTTGGAGTTCAATTTAAGGCCGCTCAAGCATGGAAAGTCCGAAACGGAGCTGAAATAGCCCCATTTCCTTTTGACCTCTCCATCTTTTCTGACTCGAAATGGCCGAAAGTACACGGCCATTGTTCTTTGGTTATCTTGTGAATGCTTTTAGCCCGAAAGATCTTTCTTGACGCACTTGTTTGCATTTGTGATCCGGAAGGTTTCCAGTTTCGGAAGTCACGCTCCCATTTCTAATATGATATCTGTCTTATCTCTCCATGGGAATTTGCGGCCGAGAAAAGAGAAGAAAGAATGCCGTAATTTGGAGCTCCTCCGACGGCTCTTTCTCTCCCTTCACATGCTTGTTTCGGGTTTCTCTCGTTGCGCTGGGTCAACGTTGTTTTCCTGCCAATCTATTTTTGGGCTTGTCATAAATTATGCCAAAAGCGGTGAAATCCTCGCTTTGCATCTATCAATTGGACTATTTTTTTGGGCTTCAAGAAAGAGGCTGCTTTTGTGAGTCCATGAATAATCCGGAAAGTTATTTTGAGTATTTTTCTTGACGTCATGAGGGCTTCTTGGATAAGTGGATTATTTTGTTGGAGTCGTCTTGAATGATGAGGAGAGTTCATATTTTGGCATTTGGCTTTAATACCGGCTGAACTATGTGTTTATGGAATTTGTTAGTTGTTTTTATCGCTGGTCGGGTGAAAATCGTTATCCATGAAGTGTTTTGGAATTTGTTCTTTCCTATTCCCATCGAAATTTATCTTGAATTTATTGGTTTTTTATTTATGTTACTGTTGTATGCACTGTTCTTTGTTTTCCACGTCATTCTGAACGGGGCAACTTTAAATTCCGAGTAAATTGAATAACCGGGCTTTATCTAGGATGGCGTTCCTTCCCGGATATAACCGAACATCCTCTCCTATTCTTCTGCTCTAGACATTTTTGTCGATTGCTTTATCGTTCCATCCGCTTCCCATTCGCATCCATTACCTCCGTCCCAGTACACGATAAAAACTCTGTTTCCGCTCTGCACCTGGCTTATCGACGTCGCTAATCTCATTGCCTTGTGCCCAAAATTGAGTCATGGTTATGGTATTCGGTTGTCATTTCTTCTTCTCCTTATCTCGTGCATTTGTCATTTCCACAGACCCGAAATGGAATGCATGTAACATGAGCGCAGAAAAAACATGTTTTTGTTAGGATTATTATGATATGTGTGGTTACTTGATCCCGCTTGCCCGACAAAACTTTGTTCTCCGCATGTTTTTTGCGCTTACAAATCAGGTGTGCATAACCGAACATGAATAGGTTGTTGAAGTGTGAATGTTTTGCTGGGTTTTCGATATCCGAGTCTTTGCGTTTGAATTCCACAATAACTCGAAGTTTTGGTGGGCTTTCAGATTCGTAACTGTCAAAACACCTGCTTCTGAATATTCGATTATATTTAAAAATGACCTTCAATCCACACTCCAGACCCGAAATTCCCTCTCTGTTTGTCCATAAAGGATTTACGTAGCTCTTTCTACGGTAATCGCTTATTATAACGGGATTATCGAGGTGGCGTAGGGAGTTATCCCCAACAAATAATCCAAATATTTTTAAATGCCTTCATTTTATGGCTTCACGAAGTGTCACGTGTCGCCATTCGAGTAGAGTCAAGGACGTTTTAAGCGAGATTCAAAAGGATTTATGTTTGAACTTTGAGGTTTTTCAAGTGGCATTCGTTTTTAATATTTGCCACGAAAAATTTGGAATTTGAAGTTCGCCGATGTTATTTTGGGAAAGTTGTGTAGTTACCCGGATTTTTTGGCCAAAGAATTTAGTTTAACCCGGATTTTTGAAGCCGTTACAGTGTAATTTAGCCGGTTTTTTGAAAATTTTACACTAAAATTAGCCAACGAATGGCACGCAGTAAAATAGGGTGAAAAATGAATTCCAACGCGGAAAGCAGCATTGAAGTTATTTGCTGTTATTGGCTACACATTGTTTAACCCCTAAATCCTCTCAAAAGGCCGGAGCCAGACGAAGTATTTCATCTTCAAAAGATTTACGAGTACGATAATCACCCTTGCTCCCTTACACAATCATTACCCACCACATATAATAAAATCGGAAAGTTATATAAAACGGATTTTTTTACAAAGTGAAGCATGGCCCGGACATTGTTGCGGTGACCATCACCGAATTTCTTCAAATTTGGCTCATAGAAGACCCACAGGGCGTATATCGAAAGTGTCAAACGTTTTTGCGAAATTTGCATTATTCGAGGATTACTGTAACATTTTGTGTTTTGTAAAGTTCCTATTGTGATGGGCTGAGGGATGGAGCGTTGCGGATGAAACTTACCGACTGGATGTTTTCGACCATGGCCAACATTTTTCTAATTGAAATGTTTTTTGTATCTTTTCATCTTTTGGTAGTACCGTAACCCTCAACATACCATATCGATTACTGCCAAAAATTGGGAAAAGTGTAACCAGTTTTTAAGCTTGATTATAAAGGTTGGACACACTCTCCGTAAAATAAGACCAAAAAATCCAAAATAAAAATATAAGTTTTTGAGATATACGCGTTCAAAGTTGCTATGTTCGGTTACTGTAAGACCAAAATGGAGATGATGAATTTTCAAACGGTACCATTGATTGCCACGCCTCACCCATTAATCGACTAGCCTGAGAAAAATATTTTCAGATCAAAAAATAAATATTTGAGGCTTTATTTCAGGCTTTATACGATGGTTACTGTAGTTTCTAACTTTTGTCAATTTCGCTAACCATTTTTTTCAAATGACGCATTTAGACCAGCTATCCCATTGAGAAATGTGTGTACAACGTAAAAATCAAAAAATCAATGTTACAGTACTATCAATTCTTGAAATAAAGGGAGATTACAGTAGCCGTATCCGCTTTTTTCGCTGTTTGGCCGCGGCATTCTTTGGAGATGCTAGTGTAACCAAATTTGAGACCGGAAATATGTTCAGAATATACAGGGGAGTATTTTAGCAAAAAATCGCGAAAATAAAAATATAAGTTTTTGAGAAAATCCGGGATTACGGTCATTTTGGGGGGTTTTTGGGCTGTTTGGCCGCGGCATTCTGTGGAGATGCTAGTGTAACCAAATTTGGGACCGGAAATATCTTCATTACCGTAATCCGGGATTTTCTCAAAAACTTATATTTTTATTTTCGGGATTTTTTGCTAAAATACTCACCTGTATATTCTGAAGATATTTCCGGTCCCAAATTTGGTTACACTAGCATCTCCACAGAATGCCGCGGCCAAACAGCCCAAAAACCCCCCAAAATGACCGTAATCCCGGATTTTCTCAAAAACTTATATTTTTATTTTCGCGATTTTTTGCTAAAATACTCCCCTGTATATTCTGAACATATTTCCGGTCTCAAATTTGGTTACACTAGCATCTCCAAAGAATGCCGCGGCCAAACAGCGAAAAAAGCGGATACGGCTACTGTAATCTCCCTTTATTTCAAGAATTGATAGTACTGTAACATTGATTTTTTGATTTTTACGTTGTACACACATTTCTCAATGGGATAGCTGGTCTAAATGCGTCATTTGAAAAAAATGGTTAGCGAAATTGACAAAAGTTAGAAACTACAGTAACCATCGTATAAAGCCTGAAATAAAGCCTCAAATATTTATTTTTTGATCTGAAAATATTTTTCTCAGGCTAGTCGATTAATGGGTGAGGCGTGGCAATCAATGGTACCGTTTGAAAATTCATCATCTCCATTTTGGTCTTACAGTAACCGAACATAGCAACTTTGAACGCGTATATCTCAAAAACTTATATTTTTATTTTGGATTTTTTGGTCTTATTTTACGGAGAGTGTGTCCAACCTTTATAATCAAGCTTAAAAACTGGTTACACTTTTCCCAATTTTTGGCAGTAATCGATATGGTATGTTGAGGGTTACGGTACTACCCAAAGATGAAGAGATACAAAAAACATTTCAATTAGGAAAATGTTGGCCGTGGTCGAAAACAGTCACACAAAAAGTTTTGGACTCATAGAACCATCACCCGGCCCACAACCAACGCCACTTTATAAAATACAAAATGTTACAGTAATCCCGGAATGGATGAAATTTCGTGAAACCCTTCTTCGCTTTTTATCAGCATGTCCAGGCCCTTCTACTGGCCTAGTTTCAAGAAATTTGGTAATGGTCGTTGCAACAATGTCCGGGCCCCTTGGAAGGAAGCTTCAGTTTGTAAAAAACTCTGTTATAAATAGAACCCCTCCGAAGAGGCACATCGTCAAAAGCGGGGGGATGAGATTTTTATGGAATTGACAAAAAACGGAATTGGATTTTATTTGGGCTTTGAGAACTCGTGAACACTCGGGAATAAAATGTTTTTTGTGAATGGGAACATGACACACTATGTGCGAAGCGTATGAGGGATTAAAATGAAATCATTGGTCTATTCATTTCAATTTCTCCTTATTGTTACCATGGAGTGTGGTTATATTGTGCATGGTTGTGTGGTTATTGGACTGAGTTAATTTTTAAATCTAGTTTTGGTTATAAACGAGGGTGACGTGTGTTTTATTACTTCTTTTTGTATTTCGAAGAGAATTTTGTTGCTTTACATTGATTTATTTATTCTTATTTTGAACTTTGGTGAGAGTTGGGTGTTCGATAAGAGTAAATAGATTTTTGTAATGGAACAATTTTCTCTTCGGAATGGGCAAGGGGTTACCAACGACCTGACACCAATAATTTATTTATGTTTGATTGTATTAATCTTGGAGAGGCCGTTTTTTAGGCTTTTCTTGATGAATATTAATTTACATCGTGATTAATTTATCCCGAATTCCTGTAATTTGCTTTGCAAGGGCTATTTCTGGAAGAAATTTCCTCCCTCTTTGGGTTTCAAGTGTTTACCGGCGCTAATCCTTCTTTTGAAGCAAACATGAGTTTATGAGAAAATTGTCGGGAAAAATATTTAATTTCCGCTTGTCCTCATAAAATGCAAAGTGTCGATATTGCTCGGGCGTGATGAAATGACTAATAAAGAGATTATGACGCTCGGATTTCCCAACAGAAACTACGCTGTTTTTTTGCCCGAAAATCTGCTTATTATGCCGGCCTAATCTGTTTTTCTTTTTTTTCTGGGGTTACAATAAGGCATTACAATCATCGGGCAATTACTGTTCTTTTTCTTTGTAATGACGTGTAATTTTTGGGGAGATTTTGAAAGGATTGATTTCATTAAATTATTTTGTGATTTTGAGCTAGATTTTATGATGACTTTGAGGTTTTTGATGATTTTGTTTTGCAGAAATGCATCCGGTTCGACCGATCCCAATCCCAAACCCTCCGAATTGCAACTGGAGGCACCGACGGCCATGTGAGAGTATGGAATGTCGGGGAAATTATCAACAATCCCGACCCGAGAATCGATTACAAACCGGTGGTGGAATTCCGAGTAGTGAATGAGAATAAAGTTGAAGTGGATGATCTGGACTTTTCCTTATGTGGACGCTATATTGCGACCGTTTCGGCCAAAGAATCAGCTATTTGGGACTCGCAAAGCGGAAAGAAATTGAGCCCGTTGAATGTGCCAAGTCATTTGGCCAAGGATTTCAAGGTGAGAGGAGTTTTGGCGGTGAAATTTTAGCTTTGAAACGATTTATAAGACAGCTTTGTAAAAGTCACGGTTTTTGGGTGTTTTTTTTGAAATTTGATGTCTAGTGTAATATAATTTTTTTGTGTTTTTGGTTTTTATTTATGATTTTAGGTGCGATCGATTCGTTTCACCGACTGGGGACGCCAATCCGCCGTGTTTGCCGTCGCATTCCAGCAACGCCAGCGAACTTCGAAACAGGTCTCATATATCGGATTATTTGGATTTCACCCCGAGAAAAAGGGAATTCAAGGCTATGAATTGAATCAAGTCTGCAAAGAAGTAAGTCATCTACCATTTTTGAAGTTTTTGCTTAATTTTTTTTTTTGGTTTTTGAGGGTCAGAAAGGATTTTGAACCTTATTTTATGCTGAAACCATGATATAGAAGGAGATTTCCCCAAATAACAGCTGCAGACGGGCATGGATTAGACATTATGATGTTTTGTTAAGCCTAATACGGTTTATGACCTAATTTACACACAGTTTGGGCAGCAAAACACCCATTAAATTAGTGGAATAATGTTTTACAGACGGTTTCAGCCCCCTTAAGCCCACCAAAAAAAGGGATTTGGAATAGTTGGGTTTCCATCCGCTTTTCTCAGCCATCCCCTCGCCAGTTGAAGATGAATTAATCTCGGATGAATGAGGGCCGAGGTGAATATAGTAATTCTTAATTAAAACCCGCCGGATTTATTATTATGCGTTGAGGGTTTCCAGAAGAGGTCAGAGGCGTAATGTAAAGTGAGATGAGACAAAATGCCCATGATTTTTTGAAAATTTTGGTTGTGAATTGGATTTTTTTGAAGAAATGGATACTTTTTGATACTTTTGTGGATTTTTGAGAGCCTAATGTACGGTGACGGACCTGATCCAGCGGCAAAAAACGTACCATTTTGGATCCGGGAAGTATCAAAAATGAAGGAAATACCTCCCTCTCCAAGTGAAAATACTCCGTTTTTGAAAGGCTTTGCCTCACAAAAAAAGCGGTGCGCGTTTGAAATCGGAGTTTTTTTCACTTGGGGAGGAAGGTATTTTGCAGCGTTTTTGGTGCTTCCCGGATGCAAAATGGTACTTTTTTTGTCACTGGGTCAGGTTTGTCACTGTACAGTAGGCACGAAGAAATCAACAAAAGTATCAAAAAGTATCCATTTCTTCAAAAAAGTCTAAATCACAACCAACATTTTCAAAAAATCGTGGCCATTACAAAAATCATGGTCATTGTCATATACAGTGGCGGACCTGATCCATTGGCCAAAAACGTACCATTTTGCATCCGGGAAGTATCAAAAATGCAGCAAGATACCTCCCTCTCCAAGCGAAAAAATCCCGGTTTCAGAAGCGCGCCCAAGGGGGAGGCATTTTGCCACGTTTTTGATACTTCCCGGATGCAAAATGATACGTTTTTTGCCACTGAAATAAGACGAAATGCCATGATTATTTTATTGTGGTTGTGAATTGGATTTTTTTAAGAAATGGATACTTTTTGATACTTTTATGGATTGTGGAGTGCCTAGCTTAACATGTAATTTCCAGGCCGTCTCATGCCTCTGCATCAACCCCAAATCCCAACATCTCGCCATCGGCACCATGGAGGGCTCGGTGTACTGCTTCAACTCCCGACTCCAGCCCATCTACACAGCTCCGCAGTCGCATAAAAGTTTCGTAACGGCCGTCGAATTCCTCCCCGATTACCAACTCGAAACGTCGGCTAAAGGCCCCCCAAAAAAGCTGCCGGGACCCGGCGCCGACGCCAAATGCACCATCCTGTCGTTGTCGGTGGACCAGGCCATCAAAGCCCATCTAGTCCCATGGCCAAGACCCACTCCTCTCACTCAAAGTCTGGCCAAATTCGCCATTTATTCACTTATTTTGTATATCTTAACTTATGTCTTGCTGGTTTATTAAGAGATTTTTGGAGTTTTTGGACGGTTTTGTGAAAAAATTTGATTTTTTTTTTTTTTTTTGAATTTTTGGGACTTTGTTTTAGAGATTTTTTTATTATTTTTTTGGCTAAAATGACGTCAGATGGTTCAAAAAATGTCTTAAAAATTTTAAATACTATTTTGGATTGGAATAATTGGCTTAATTTTAACTTTTTATGACTTTCTATCATGTGTAATATCCGAAAATTTTTGTATCCCATTTTTTCCCCTGAAAATCATTGCACTCCAGTTACATTAACTTATTACGGTGTCTTCAAGCCCACAAAGACGATTGTAGTCTTCGCTTCTAATCCTCTTGACACTTTTTTCTCCCACTAAAAGGGCTCCAAAAATAGTCGAGTGCACTTTTTGTCATTTTGTGATAGGCTCCTGCCCATAATTATATCATAGGTCTTACAGGTTCACGTGAATTCCTCCATAGAGCACGTAATTTATTCGATTATTTATCCAAATGCGGTTATGACTTTGTTTTCCGGGCGCTGTTTTTCGGTTGCACTGTGCCGAGGAAAGGGTCGGGCGGTTGCACTGTGCAGTGGGAATTGGGGTTTGGTTTGCACGGTGCGATCCGAGAAATGGATGTTTTTGCACGGTGCGATGGAAGTTGAGAGCGATTTGCACTGTGCGATCTCAAAAACATGGTTTGCACGGTGCGGTGGAAGTTGACGACGATTTGCACGGTGCGCTTGCGATGGGCGACCTTCATTTTTTCGCACTGTGCGAGAAAAACAGATTTATCTGCGATCGCACTGTGCAATTTCAAACAAAAGTGCTTTGCACCGTGCGATGGAAGTTGACGGCGATTTGCACGGTGCGCTTGCGATAAGCGACCTTCTTTCTTTCGCACTGCGCGAGAAAAACAGATTTTTTGCACGGTGCGATGGAAGTTGAGCGACGATTTGCACGGTGCGCTTGCGATGAGCGACCTTCTTTTTTTCGCACTGTGCGACGAAAACAGATTTTTTGCAATTGCACTGTGCAATTTCAAACAAAAGTGCTTTGCACGGTGCGATGGAAGTTGACGACGATTTGCACGGTGCGCTTGCGATAGACGACCTTCTTTTTTCGCACTGTGCGAGAAAACAGACTTTTGGTGCGATCGCACTGTGCAATCTCAAAAAAAGTGGGTTGCACCGTGCAGTTGAAGCTAAATTTTTCCTCTGCACAGTGCATAAAATATTATTGATCGTTATTAATTTATCACTTGCATAAACTGTTTATCAAAATTTTTTAATTGTATTATCGTATTCAATTACCGGTTTCCACACCGTGAAATAATATTTATTACAATTTTTATGTTCTTTTTTTACCTAATTTGAGTTTAGAAAGCCACAGAATCGTCCAACGCGAATGAGGTTGTAGAGGAAAAAAGGAGATCGCGCGTCGAGGCCCTCCTTCCGGCCACAATGGACTTCTCGTTCAGTGAATGCCAGCAACCGCCGAAAACCGAGCAATTGGACTACACGTTGACCAGCGGCGGCTTCTGGTCGGACTGTCGAGGTAGGTTGGGGGATTTTGTGAGGGTCAAAATACAGTGGGGGACCTGATCCAGTGGCAAAAAACGTACCATTTTGCATCCGGAAAGTACCAAAAATGCAGCAAAATACCTCCCTCTCCAAGTGAAAATACTCGGGTTTCAAAAGCTCTTTTTGTGAGGGAAAGGGCGCGCTCTTCGAAACGAAGTTTCTTCACTTGGAGAGGGAAGCATTTTGCCACATTTTTGATACTTCCCGGATGCAAAATGGCATGTTTTTTGCCACTGGATCAGGTCCCCCATCGTAATAGGCACTTGATTTGAGTACGAAATTTAGAGAAAACATGATTTTTTGTTGGAAATTTGGCTTTTATGGTGTAAAAGTTGATTTTTTTTTGGATTTTTGATAAATTTTTTGTGAGTTAATACAGTTTTTATGGGTGTAGAATGATATTAGAAGTACCGAAAGACGTTTTAAGATTCTAGAAGTTGAGTTTTTCAGCTAAAAATTTATTTTTTGCCCTAAAATTTCAAAATATTTTCTTTTCCTCCAGATATCGACCCACGGCTGCACAGCCAGCGCCGTTTCGGCTCCACGATCGCCCTCGACTCCAGCCCGGTATGTTTCCCGTCGAACATGCAGCAAGCATATCCCCAACCGATCACCGTCGCGCCCGCCAACTCGTTCGGCTCAAACCAGGCGCTGCAGTCGCCGTCCACGCCACTTGCAGACTTTAAGCCCGTCTCCCGGTCGATGGAATGCCTTACCCAACCAACCACATCGAATCTCAACCATCTCTACAACGCTCAGGCCCACATGGACGACTCCAAAGTGAATTATAGCTACGATAATGACTCTGGCATGGTAAGAGTCATTTTTTGGGTTTTTTGACTCATTTTTGGCTGATTTGATTGGTTTTTTTATGTTTATGAGCTTTTCACTTGTTTTTACATTTGAAAAAGCTCTTAAATTTCAAGTTTTTAGTGAAAATTTGAGTTTATTTACAGTAGTCTATATTATACATGAAAAAAATACTGGAATAATCGGAGGAATGTGAGTAAAAACGAAAATTAAAGCAGTTTGAACTCTAAAGTAGCCTTATTAGTACCGTCGGGACAATTGAACACCATATTTCCATCTTTGTCCAGCCATTCGGCATGTTTTATAACGTATAAGCGATCGTATCCTTGCCGTTCGAATAGCTGAAAATTGAATTTTTAGAGGGGTCAAGGGGTAAATTGAAGAAGTATGGGGTAGTCGAGGCGATTGTGGCACATTTTTATAAATTTTTCACAAAATTTTTTATTTTTTTTTTTCTTTTTGGAATTTTTGTAAATTTCCAAGGTTTTTTGTTAATTTATGGTTTAAAATGGGGAATAGGAGGTGTGAAAACACTTATAATGATAGCTAGAGAAAATTTCAACTTGATTTTTTGCAGTTTTCATAAATTTTTTTCTCGAAAATTTCCAAAAATCCCACTTTTTCGCCATTTTTTGATAAATTTTAAAAAATTTTTGCAGAAAAACCAAAGAGTTTGAGGCTTGATTTAACCTTCAATCTGGTGTAACTACTGTCAGCTCTTACCTGTTGGGATTTGAACGCTGTAGCCTCGGTTATAAAGCCTTGAATGCCGTCGGTTTTTAATTTTTCCACCGAATCAATCCCCAATAGTTTACTGGCAATCCCACGCCGAGTAAAGTCCTTGTCCACGGACAGAACGAGCCAAATCAGCAGCTTGTTTACGTCCTTGGGCACCAAATCCCACATCTAGAATTTTATAATTTGTTTTTGCGATTTTTGCTCGACCTACTTTCTCTTCGAAAGCCCCCAGAAAGTCCTGAATCTTCTGGATTTTCGCGCTGTATTTGTGAGTGTTGAAGGTGAAGTTTTCGTCCACATTTTCCTTCTCACTGGAGCTCTCGGGACGCGTTATCACACTGCTCAAACGCGCCGCAATCACTCGCCCATCGGCCTTGGAGCGCGCGTAATAACTGTAGTCGGAGGTCAGAGAACCTTGAACAATTTCTGAAATAAAATTGGTCATCTGCTTCTGAATAATCAATGATATTTTTTCTGAAACTAGCATTGTTTAGAAGGCTTTATTTTGCCTTGAAATTTTTGATAATTTCATTTGACTTACCGCGGAAAAACCTCTCGGTAATTTCCCGTTCTTCCGCCATATTCAGCGCAAGATTCAGCGACTCGGTGCATAAAAAATCGCTCATCAAGAAATCCAATAGCTTGTCCTCATCCTCCACAGTGGCTTGGAGAATATCGTAGTCCCAGGTGGGGTCGGACAACACCAAATTGTTGGACATTTCCCTGAAAGAATGGCAAACTCGCTCCGAAAATCAAAATTTGAACGGTTAAGCCTTTTAAACGCGCTCGCAAAGTCTCAAATTTGCTTGAATTAGCCCGGAAATTGAAGAAGGCAACATCCCCCTACGATTTTGTTGAGCTTTGCCCTCAGGGCATAACTCAAATTTCCCCACAAAATGTGGAAAAAACAAAAAACGTCGATTAAGTGGCTCATCCTTCATGTCTCAAGGACAATGTGAGCCTTTATCCCGAAGCTCGTTCGAGGGCACACGTTGTGTTCGCAAAAAGTGAGAAACGGAAAAAAGAGAATTTTTGTGCGGCCCAAAAGCCAACGGAAAGGGAATTAACGGCTGGCCAAACGGCCCCAACTCCACGTTCCCCGCCAACCAATATCTTCTCCCTTATTTGGGTTGGAATTGATGAGCCGTCCGTGCGAATGGACACCAATGGCAATGTAAATGATAATAAGAGAGCGCGATTGCATATTCATGAAGAAGAGATGGCTAAACTTAAATGGAGAAAAAAGAAAATCTAGGGGATGATTGTCATGGATAATGTAAACTAATTTACAGTGTCTTTAGAGCTAAAATTTTGGCAGAGTTTTGAAGACTAGGCCCCAATTTTAGCTTTAAAATCGTACAGTGACGGACCTGATTCAGTGGCAAAAAACGTACCATTTTGCATCCTGGAAGTATCAAAAAATGTAGCAAAATGCCTCCCTCTCCAAATAAAAAAACTCTGTTTTGAAGGGCGCGCTTTTGAAATCGAAGTTTTTTCAATTGGAGAAGGAGGTGTTTTGCTACATTTTTTGATACTTCCCAGATGAAAACTGGTACGTTTTTTGCCACTGGATCAGGTTCGCCACTGTACGATTTTAAAGCTAAAATTCGGGCTGAAGTCTTCAAAACTCTGCCAAAATTTTAGCTCTAAAGACACTGTAGATTAGTTGACATTATCCATAACAAAAAACAGCGAGATTTGCTTTTTTCTCCATTTAAATTTAGCCCTCTTCTTCATGAATATGTAATCGCCCTCTCTTATTATCATTTACATTGCCATTGCTGTCCATTCGCACGGACGGCTCATCAATTCCAACCCAACTAAGGGAGAAGATATTGGTTGGCGGTGAACGTGGAGTTGGGGCCGTTTGTCCAGTTTTTTGCCAGTGGCACTGTATAATGGTCTACGACCAAAGATTTGAAAGTCACAGGACGTTTGAGGGGTTTAAGTTGACGTTCTTAAATCTCCCCTGGCAACCCTTCAACCCGCATTCCGTGGAACCCATAAACCCAGGTTTCGCATATTCAAATGAATTCTGAAGGCGTCCAAACGCCTTCTTTTGTCTGGAAAGTTCAAAAAGATATCGAATGTCTGCAATTCTTACTGTGCGAGGGTTAAAAAAGACCAAAAATTGGCAAAAGCATAAAATTTCGGTCTATTTTTGCTTACAATTCGACTAATGAACCTCATTCTTCGTTTCGAAGCGGATTTTGCATCCAAAAAGCTTGTATAAATACGAGTTCTTCAACAGAATTTGCAAGATATCAAATTCTAATGCTATGACGAAAACCCGAGTCAACCGCAAAGAAAAACTAGTTCAATTTCGCGAAACAAGCACCGAAACATCCGCGGAATTCGACCCGAACGGGTTGAGCAAAAGTTTTTTGGCCAGGAAATTCGCAGTCTCATGATCTGAAATTTGGAGAAAAACAATTCGAGAAGTCCCTTGAGCAAACAAGGACATTTCAAATTTCGAGCGGTACAAAGAAAAAAAGGGAAATGAACAAATGTCAAGGAAGTGAACAAATGTCAACTGATGGCGAATAGTGGAAATAATGCAAAAAAATTTAACGCAAATTTATAAGGAAGTTGAAGATCGGATTACAGTGGGGGACCTGATCCAGTGTTAAGAAACGTACCATTTTGCTTCCGGAAAGTATCAAAAATGTGGCAAAATGCTTCCCTCTCTAAGTGAAAAAAATCCGATTTCAAAACCGCGCCCTTCAAAACCAAGTTTTTTCACTTTTAGAGGAAAGCATTTTGCCACATTTTTGATGCTTCCCGGATGCAAAATGGTACGTTTTTTGCCACTGGACCTGGTCCGTCACTATGCACACTTTTGTGATGAAAAGTTTGCTGGGAAAATTGTGGAGATACAGTAATATTTTTGGTATATATATGTAAGGTAGTCGGTTTGACGAGAGGTTGATGGATCTGACTTTAGTATTATTGAATTTTTTTGTATGTTTTTATGTAGATTCAAGTTTTACTATGGTCTTTGATTTTCGTACCCGGATGGACAAGTTGAGGATTGGAAAGTTTAATGGGGCATTTTTGAGCGTAAAACTGTTAGTTTAGAAGGTGTATGAAGCAATCAACAACTTTTTTTTTGACAATCTGAGATAAAGGGAACTTTAACCCATTTTCTGACGGAAAAGGCTTTCAACGATTTAAAAAAATGAAGCCGTCGTGACAATTCAAATTTGGCCGCCAGTGCAAAAGTAAATATTGACAGACTTTGGAATACCTCAAATGACTAGCCAAAAAATTGGATTGGTTCCGGAATTTGCCTCAACGACTTTTCGAAAAGTTGGATCGGCCTAGAAACATCTCGAACAGCTAGCAAAACTTTTAGTTTTGGGCAAATTCAATGCTCTTCGAGCCTTTGGCTAGCCGGTCCAACTTTTTGGCTTGTCGTTGAGATAAATCCCGGAACCAATCCAACTTTTTAGCTAGCCATTTGAGGTATTTCAAAGTTGTTTCGATATTTTCTTTTGTACTGGTGGCCCGATTTGTCACGACGGCTCAATTTTTTTAATTATTGGAAGTCTTTTCCGTCAGAAAATGGGTTCAAATTGTCCTTTATCTCTCATTGTCGAAAGACAATTGTTGATTGCCTCATACAGCTTCTAAACTAACTGTTTCCCCCTCTAAAATGCCATTAAATTTTTCGAAAATACATGAAAATTATCAGGAATGTCGCACCTCCCAAGTTTTAAGTTTTAATCAAAGTGCTTCAAAGTCATGCAAAATGCCTTGTAATTTCAAGCTTTCTCCTGGCCTTTGTCGTCACAATTACTGATTTGTTTTTTGATTCTTTAGTGGGAGAACAAATGACGGCCGAAAACGCTTGGCCGCCTTGTTGTCGCTCCGAAAAAGCTCGTATTTGATAACAGAATCAACACCGAGGAACGGGGTTTATAGTGTTGGAATGACAAATTGGCCCTGATAAGGCCTTCGCAAACAATTTTTGGGTGAAAAGAAGGGAATGTTGCATAATGGTTAGATAGGAGTATGGTTTAGTATAATTTCTTTGGATTTTTTTACGAATTTTTTTGAGTTTATGTGAAAGCTTTTGGCTTGAAATGTCTACTGAAGGCTTCGGAGGTAATTGTGAAATAAAAATGTAGTTTTTAAATGCATTTTTTTATATTACTTTGGGTGAAAATAAGATTTTTTTAAAGATCTTGCTGTAATTTTCGATTTTTATGTCTTTGGTAGACTTTATCTTGATTAAACTTCCTGAAGAGTAGTTTAGACAGCTTTAATTGCAATGTACATAAAAATTTGGCCTGTTTTGACACTGTTTTTACATTGTAGTGGGCCTCTGTTTTCATTTTATGATTTCTCTTTCAAATTATCAAATTTTCCATGCCAATACTGAGATTCACGAAATTATAGTGCAATGACTCGGTTGCCAACACCTCGTCCTTCTCCAGCAGCTGCAACGCGGACAGTGTGACCAACGAGGACTGCTGTATGGACCCGAATGCCTGGGCCACAACCGCCTATTTGAACGCCGCGAACAACATCCAGAACTTTGGGAATCAAATGGGCATGATCTCGGTGAACCGGATCTCCGTTGACGACTCCATGCTCAACAATTACAATCGTAAGAATTGGAATTTTTCGAGTTTTATATTATCCATGGCATCAAGTCCGAAAAATCTTGAATTTTTGAAATTTTGGGCTTATTTTTTGTTTTCAGCTTGTCCTAAAGTTCGATATTGAATTTTATTCAATTTCAGACATGTACGATGAGATTCTGGAGTCGATGCAGCGTTGCCGAGTGAACAATCAACAGAACGACGTGGACATGGACTTTCACTGAACAGCCCGTCATCAATTTCCTTTTATTTTTCGCAAAACCTCTCCTCGAGCCGAAGAATACCTCGGTTTCCATCGATTGAAAAAGGCAATATAACATCAACGCTACCAATTTTATCAATTTTCCAACCTTGCACTTTGATCGTCATGGATAATGTGGAGAAACAACAAGATTGCCATCATATTTACAGCTTTTAAACCGGACAACATTCTATTTTCTTCTCCTCGAATCACGGTTATCACGGTCTTCAGCACTCCCCGTGTCCAGCTATTAATCAACCATCGGCATTAATAATATTTTTGATCAGATAATCAATTTGAATTTTGCGGGAGAGCCGATGGATATGACATAATTTGGAGGGATTGGGAAGTTTGGATAGAGTTTTGGGCAGTTTTTAGAGGATTAAGATTTGTTTTTTGCAGAAAAAGTTGAGCAAGTTATATTACACTTGATATAAGTGAGATAAAATTGGTGTTTTTGGATCGAAAATTACTTGAAGATTGTTAAATAGAAGACTAGTAAGTTTTTAAAGCTGTAAGTTGCGTTTTGGAAGACAAAATTTGAGTCTGAGCAGGGTTTATTATACTAGGTAGATGTGATAAAAAAAATTTTCAAAAACAAAGTTATGTTTAGAATTGACCTCTGAGAGTTTCAGTATCTCTTTTGGACACCTTAAAACTTGTTTTGACAAATTTTTGGGCTAAACAGTAGCTTTGATTATATTACACTTGACCAAAAATTTTTTGTTGAAAAAATTTTTTTGGTCGAATTTTTTTCCCCAACCGTTTTTATAGCCTATTACAAGATGAATTTAAAGATTGTCGCATCCAGAAGCTCTCCCCCTCCCACTTGTTACCTTGATTTTTCCCCCCGTCGAACCGCCTAAAACCCGCTAATAATATTCCCTTCCAAAAAATATTTGAACAGCTTTCATGACTATTTATACAACCAAAAATACGTCGTAACCAAATAAACATACATACACCTGGGCCTTCGCGTTCTTCTCTCTTACAAGTTGACTCCCGAAACTTGGCCTCTCAATGGTTATATGTTGTTGCTTGTGGTTGGTGAATATGATTTTCGTTTTTGGATTTTTAGTATGTTGTTTGTTGTTGTCAGTTGTTGAAAATGCTCAAAAACAAACGTCGCCAGCAGACGGCGACCTTCCTCGAGGGACTGAATGGGCATTATCAGCGGAGAGAGAGTCCTCCGCCGATACCGAATACAAGTAAGTGGATGGAGAAAAAGTGGCGGGGAAGGCGGATTGTGTAATGGCGGACCCGATCCAGTGGCAAAAAACGTACCATTTTGCATCCAGGAAGTATCAAAAATGTGGCAAAATGCTTCCCTCTCCAACTAAAAGAACCTTCCTTTAGAAAGGCGCGCTATTTTTTCCTCACGAAAAGAGCGAGCGTGTTTTTGAAATCAGTAGTTTTCGCTTGGGGAGGGAGGTATTTTGCTACATTTTTTGGTACTTCCCGAATGCAAAATGGTACGTTTTTTGCCACTGGATCAGGTCCGCCACTGTTTGGTTGGAGATTTGACAACCAGAAATTGCAACGGCTACAGAGCCGGCTCCGAGCCGGGAGCCGGAAATTCTGGGTCCGGCTCCCGAGCCCGAAGTCGGAGCCAGGCTTCTCAGCGTTTATAAAAGTAAAAATTTCGTGATCTTGTTATACCAATTGCTCGAAAAATACAGGGAAGGATGCGTTGCGTACTTATGACTTGGCTCAAAAACGTTGGGTGTGTCATCTCCGGCACGAATAGCTTTTATTTTTGGAAAAATATTTTTCACGGGAGCCGAAATTTTGGCCGTGGCAATCTCTGGTGACAACTCGTGTCGCCAGTATAAAAGTAAATATTGAAAAACTTTGAAATAACTCAAATGGCTAGGCAAAAAAATTGGATCTGCTCCGGAATTTGTCTCAACGGCTTGCCAAAAAGTTGGATCGGCCTAGAAACCCCTCGAACAGTTGGCTAAAAAACTTGACTGGTCTCTGAATTTGCATATATGCCTACTGAAACCTTAGACTCGCTGTTCTGGGCAAATTTAGGGCTCTTCGAACGGTGGCTTACCGTTCCTAGTTTCTGGAACGGCTAGCCAACCGGTTAGACAAAGGTTTCGAAGAGCCATAAATTTGCCCAGAACTGCTAGCCGGTATTCTGGCTAGGCGTATGTGGAAATTCAGAGACCATACAAGTTTTTTAGCTTGCCGTTCGAGGGGTTTTTAGGCCGATCCAACTTTTTGGCTAGTCGTTGGGGCAAATTCTGGAACAGATCCAATTTTTTGGCTAGCCTTTGAGGTATTTCAAAGCTTTTCAATTTTTACTTTTGCGCTGGCGGCCCGAGTTGTCTTGAGCTCGAATTGTCCACGACGGTATGGTTGATAATTCGAGGATTTTTTGGTTGGTGATTTTTGAAGAAAATCTGACACTCGAAGCCGAAGAACTGCCCAGTTTTTCCGGAATTTTGGAAATTCAGAAAAAAAAAATTTTTTTGGTTCTAAATTTTGAGACCACTTTTAATCTTTATTTTTTCAGTGAATATGTCCCAGCCCCGGCACCAAACCCAGTCCACGACCGGCTCCTCAACTCAGTCCCTCCAAACCATCGGCATAGTCCAACACCCCTCGATCACCTCCTCCACGGCGTCGGCCCCCATCAAAAAGCACTCCAACTCGGCGCTAACCCCCTTCAACGACCACCCCAAGCCGTCGGCGTCGTCGACCAGCCTCCCGATGGCCGGCCTCATGTCCACCTCCACACCGGGCGTCCAGTTCGGCCTGTTCCAGCCCAATCCGCAGACCATTCAGCAGCAGCGAAGGCTGAGTCACACGCCCCGAGGAAGTCGGACCGTCTCCACAAGATCCGAACTTTCATCGCATAGTTTTTCCAATCCCCGACAAACGAATGTCGTCCAAGTGCCCCCACAGCAGAGCAGACAGATCTACGTGCAGAATAACAGCCAATACCCGCAGCGGTACAGCGCCAGAAGTGACCAGAATCAGAAGCGACAGAGGCGATCGCTCACTTCGTCGCTCTCAATAGGTAACACTGATTTTTTGGTCGCAAAATTGAAGCATTTGGAAACATTTGATTGAGCCCGAAGAGTCCAGTTATACCAAAAGTTCCATTTTTTAGATTTCAGAATGAGGGTGACATTTTATACGATGAAAAAAATTTTGAAATTTTTAACAAGGAAAGTACTTTTATGGGGGCTCCTACTTTTTGACGGGACATATCTCAAAAAATCAGAAAAAATGTGCTGATCAAGGATATATAAATCTTAGCTGCCCATTTTAGGTTTTTAGGGGTGAAAACTCAATCGGAAGTTGACTTAAAGTCCTATATAAACCCCTTTTCGCTTAATTTTTCACAGGTTTACAATTTTTATTTCGGCTTAAAATGATGTTTATTGAGTTTCTAGGACGTAATAAATCAGTCTTGGCCCAAAAATTTATTTTTCCGACCTTCAACTTCAAAAAAAGTTGCTTCAGTCCAAAAGGGAAACCGAACCCGTGCGGCGTCCCCCTCTTGATTCCCAGACTACGGCACTAGCCACTCGGCCACATCGCTCTCTTCCGAAGGAAGAGACCGACTGCGCTTTTTATCGTTTCGAATGCCTGCCCTTTTGTAGGGAAATTAAGCCAGTTTTTGGGCATTTTCGCCCCTAAAAACCTAAAATGGGCAGCTAAGATTTATATATCCTTGATCAGCACATTTTTTCTGATTTTTTGAGGTATGTCCCGTCGAAAAGTAGGAGCCCCCATAAAAGTACTTTCCTTGTAAGATGTAAGTGGTATCTTATAGGGTAAAATTTTTGCTTATTTTTTTCAAAATGAATTGTGACATGTTATACGATAAAAATTTTACAGAATTTGTTTCAAATCACTGTTAAAAAATACAATTTTAAAATTTGAAAAAAAGAAATTTTTTTATCGTATAAGACGTCACCCTCATTTTGAAAATTATAAAAGCGGGATTCTTCCGATCTTTTTGTGGGACACTTCGAAAGCCGGAGTTTTCGTCGGCAACGGACAAAATTCAAGAAAAAAAAAATTTTTTTGAGCAGTGCTTGCAATATTTAATTTGCCAGTAAAATGGAAAATAATGAATCAAAATTTACAGAAATGATATCTCTGACAGCTACAATGTCTTAATTTTTGGTCAAGTAATGTTTTATCGCAAAATGGCAGGATTTTTAAACTCCGAAATTGGAAAAACCCCTAAGGGGATGTTTCGAAAACATTTTCTAAACCAAAACTAGAGGCCTTGTAGATTCCAGAAATATAATTTTTGTATGTTTTGATCGGGTTTTTCGCAATTTATTTGCGATTTAAACTTTTCGGCTGGCAAATTATTTTTTATGGGCGAAAAATCCACTTTTTCGGCCGTAAACACGGTCTTCACATCTCTTGCAACAATTTCACTTTGATCTGCAGGCAATATCCAGTCGAACGACCCCATCTCCGAGCCCACCACACCACACGATTTCCTCTACAACGTCGACGAACTCGACACCAAAACGAAAGCCGGCTCCCTGCAGTCGCTCCGAAACAACCCGAATTACGGCTCTCAGCAGCGGGATTCGGCTTCGCCAGCTCTGTCCAACCTACTACCAGCTGACGCCAACGACTTACCGTTGCCGTCGGGCTGGGATGTGGACGTAACGGCGGAGGGCTTCCGGTTTTATATTGATCATAATAACCAACGCACCACCTGGGTTCATCCGCTGGCTGTGGAGAATCTGCCGCCCGGATGGACCAAAATCTTTGATGCGGTGCACGGAGTGGTCTATTATAAGTAAGGAGAGCAATTCTGAGCGTTTTGCGCGATTTGATAACTGGCCAATGCGCGATCTGAAACTTAGCTGAAAATGATAGGGCGCAGCTGGGAAAACTGGCACGGGCGCAGCTCGCATCTCGGGGGCATCTCGGAAAACAAGCTTTCGCAGCTCGCCGGAGCTAAGTTTCACCTTGTTTTCGAGCTGCGCCCAAGACGCGAGCTGCGCCCGTGCAAGCTCTCCGAGCTGCGCCCTATGATTTTCAGCAACTTTCAGATAGCGCAGCCCCTGTTCAAACGTATTTTCAAAAAAAATGACGTCATTTTTCCGCATTTTTTTTGGAATTTCCGCTCATTTTTTTGTTGCTTTGAAGTGATGTCTCTAAATTTTCAGCGAAGTCGAGCAACGCTCCCAATTCGAGCATCCCGGCGTCATGACACCCAACCCTCCCCACCACAACAACTCCCATCATCTCCAACAACACCAGCAGCCCCATCTGACCGCCAAGTCGCAGCAGAACTCGCGCCAGTCCTCGCAAAGCCGCCGCAGCACCTCCTGGGCCAACCTCCAACAACAGAACCAACTGGCTCAACGGATCCGAGAGTCGGCCTCGATTCAGTCCATCGCCCAACACCAAAAACAACAGCAACTGGAGAACGAGGAGCAGCGGAAAAGGAGCAGCGACATGTCGCGCGTCCATCCCATGTATTACGAGACCATCTCCAGCCTGAATATCATCAACGAAGGTCAGTTGGTGGGGTTGTGTGCGAAGAGGCCCCAAAATGATGAGGCCTTTTTCAAAAAAAAAACTTTTTTTTGATGAGAGTGGGTGACATGTTATATGATGGAAAAATTCTTGAAAAAATTTTGGAATGAGGGTGACATCTTATACGATGAAATTTTTTTAACAAAACGAAGAGGCCCTTTAAAAAAACTTTTTGTTAATGAGTGGGTGATGGTGACATTTTATACGATAAAAAAATTTCGTCGTATAACATGTCACACCCTGTTTTTTCATTTTACAATTTTTTTTTTCGTTTTTGGGGGGCCTCTTCTGATTTTTTATGAAAAGAAAAAAATTCGAAATAAGGGTGACATTTTATACGATGGGTTCTTTTCATCGTATAAAATGTCACAACCTAGTATTTTTGTTTTGCATTTTTTTATTTTTGGGGGTCTCTTCGGACTTTTTATAAACACAAAACAAATTTCGAAACGAAGTTGACATTTTATACGATGAAAAAAATTTTCATCGTATAACATGTCAAACCTTGGTTTTTCATTTTGCAATTTTTTTTTATTTTTGGTGGCCTCTTCGTTTTTTTTTGAGGCCTTTTCGGAAGCACCGAGTTGTCTGGGGAGATTTTCTTTACAATTTTTGTTAATCAAATCCCGTTCCAGACATCCCTCCATGGCTAAAACTGTACGGCGAAGCGCCCTTTCAATCGGACCATCTGCTAAAAGTATGTTAGGCCCCAAAAAAATTCACGATCCTTTGTAGTGGACCATGTTCAAGTTGCCGCAATTGCAACAATTCGACCGAATGCTGCGCAAACTGTACAAACAAGAGGTCCTGAACACGGTCAGCAAGTACGAGCGTGTGCGTGCCGAAATTAACACGGAATTGCTGCGGAGGTTCGAGGGAAATTGAGTGTAGAGCGTGTTCATATACATATGTAATGGGTTGCTCAAACAATATAAATAACACCTACTTGACGGTGATTTTGTTTTTTTCGGACAGTTGTTGGTTTTGGTAGAGTTTGCTTCAGATAGGGCGAATTTTTGGCTTGTAATCTACCAAAGGGACGATTTGGGGAGAAGTACGATTGGGGAAACCGAAAAGTACAAATGCGACCAGTTTTTCTAATCTTGGCTATTGCGCATCTTAGTTTTCTTGATCATGGGTTATCATGACATAAAAAAGATCAAAATTGGCACCAAAAAACGGAACTGGAACGATTGGTGAAAAGGACGATTGTGAAAACCGAAAAGTATTACTTTTCTTCGATGCAAATGTCGAAATTAGGTTAATCGAGGGTGCTGATTTCGAAAATGGCATTCATTTTTTGATTCTTACTTTTTTCCGTTAGTAGTACTGTAAATTAGTAATTTTTTGAATTTTTTTCATAAATACTCGATTTAGCGGTTTTCGATGGTGCTGACTTCGAAAATCATATTCTTTTTTGTGATTTGAAAGCAGCACCCTCGAAAACGCCCAAATTGAGTATTTATGAAAAAAAAATTGAAAAAATTACTACTTTACAGTACTACTAACGGAAAAAATAACTATCAAAAAAATTATTGTAATTTCCGGAATCAGCACCCTCGATTATCCTAATTTCGACACTTGAATCGAAGAAAAGTAATACTTTTCGGTTTTCACAATCGTCCTTTTCCCCAATCGTTCCAGTTCACGTCAATCCAAAATAGAACAAAAAAATTCCCGCCCCTTTTTGGTGATTCGTTCAAAACGAAATGTCACTATCCGATAAAAGGCATTTTCTTATCTTTCTTCTTCCTTTTCGAGAAAAAGCAATTATTTCGAGCGAGAAAAAGTGCCGATAATTTCGCGACATTTCGTCTCTCTTTTAAATCAATGGAAACGAGACGAAGTTTCGAAACGGTTCAGGAAATGCGCTGGATTGACGTGCAGTTCCTTTTTTGGTGCCAATTTTGATATTTTTTATGTCATGATAACCCATGATCAAGAAAACTAAGATGCGCAATAGCTATGATTAGAAAAACTGGTCGTATTGTGAATCGCATCCAATGGCTTTATCGGGCCTTGTATAGGCACCGGCTACAACTTTTTTTGGCTCTTCGCCTCTCATACAGTGACAGACTTGATCCAGTGGCAAAAAACGTACCATTTTGCATCCGAGAAGTATCAAAAATGCAGCCAAATACCTCCCTCTCCAAGTGAAAATACTCCGATTTCAGTCTCTTTTTGAAAAGCGCGCCCTTTCCCTCACAAAAAGAGCCGGCGCACTTTTGAAATCGGAGTTTTTTCACTTTGAGAGGGAGGTATTTTGCCACATTTTTTGATACTTCCTGGATGCTAAATGGTACGTTTTTTACCACTGGATCAGGTCCACTGTAGTCCCCGTACGACTATCGTTGACCCGAAAAGCTGGAACGCCCACAATTCACCTTCATTACAAGTCAGTACGACTTTATTTCCGTCAAAATTTCCCGGCCAAAAACGAGTCAAAAGACGATCGGTCGATTCCCTATTCATCATCACAGTCCATCGTCCGCACAATCATCTTCTCGCGCTTCTTCTCGTCGAATTCGGCGGGTTTCAGCTGCGTGAAGCTAAGCTCCAGCTTACTGCTCACCTGCACGACGGCCGCGTAGTTGCACAAGTCGTCGGTGTAACGGGCCGCCGAAAAGACCGTAATTAGGGAGCGGTTCGCGAAGAAGGCGTAGCCATATTCCACCACCTGAAAAGGGGAAAAAAGTAGTGTTAAAATAATCATCAGGCGACGCTCATATTTTGACGAGACTTGGCACAAATTTAGAATAATTTTTTCCAAGATTATATGCGAAACTCCTAGCTCGCGCTTTGCAGAAACAACCGAGATTTTTAGGCCGAAATTTGAAAAAAATGCGATACTTTTTTGCGAATTTAGGCTTGAAAAGTTTCATGCCTATTTCTGACGTATAGGGCAATGTTTCCACAAAAAATTAAATTTTTCCGCGCGAAACTGGCAAAGATATGGCCAAAAAGGTCTTCTCTCTGACCGCTCTCCACATTCCGCGTACTCTCTCTCTCTCGGCCGCAAAGACCGTTGAATATCTCGGCTGCTCTTGCAATGCGCGAGCCAAAACTTTTAGGAATTGATACGTGGCCTACGACTGATTTTGTGCAAAATTTGAAGAAAATCTGATGTGAGCCCCTCGGTTACAAGCCTGTCCTTGTACATCGAGACTAGAATTGGCACTTTTTTTGCCAGTTTGTCCACAAAAATCAACCTTATTCCTACTGTAGGCGTCTAAAATTGTCCGAAAAAACCCAACTTCTTTCGTAAACAATTGGCAGAAAATAGCAAAAAAAATTCTCTGACCGCCCTCCGTGTTTCGCGTACTCTCTCGGCCGCAAAGACCGTTGAATATCTCGGCTGGCTCTGTAAAAATTGAGCTAAAACTTCCTCGAATTGATACTTGGCCTATGCCTACAGTGTGTGCAAAATTTCAACAAAATCTGAACGTCGCACTTGGGACATCTCCCTTGTATAGTAATATTGCAATAATATGTCAAAAAAAGACTTTTTAAAAAAGGAAACCTCCACCCACCTGATGCGCTCGGATGATCAAGTCGATATCAAGCCTTTGAAGCGTCTCCTTGACCGAATCCTCTCCGAACAGCACCGACACCGACCGGACTTTGTTCTGCGTGTAGCCCTTGACGCCCTTCTGCGGGTCCGCCCACAAAAGGTCCTGTTCCAAGGTGTTCTTCTGCATAATCATCGTCCCTCTCTTCAACTTGCGGATGTCGTCGAGGCTGTTGAGGCGTGGCGAGATCCCGCCGTGCATGCACAGGATCTTCTTGGACACCAGCGCCGCGTACGGCATGAAGGAGAAGATCTCGTTGAAGTACAAGTAAAGGTCGTCGATGAGGTGCGGGTCCGCGCTGTACCGCTTCTTTAGGGCGTCGTAGAAGCCGTAGATTCTGAAATTTCCAAACATAAATCAAAAAATTCTAAATCTTCCAAAAAATTTTGGTCCCACAACGAAAACCTGATTTTCGCAAAAACACCGCGGAACTGGTCGAAAAGGTTGCGAATGAGATTGATGAGCCCTCCAACTTACTTGTTGATGTTCTTGAGCTCATGGTTTCCGCGTAGAAGGTAGATATTCCTCGGGAATTTCACTTTGCACGCCAACAACAACATAATCACCTCCATGGAGTGTTTGCCGCGGTCGATGTAGTCGCCCAAGAACAAATAGCGCACTTTAAATGGCATCCCACAGCTCTGAAAGCCCAAAATGTGACATTACACTAGGCATCCAAAAATTTTTTGGGTCCCAGCACGAAAACCCTGAAATTCAGGGAAATCCGATTCTTGCCCGCCTTAAACAAAATCTCCCCCTAAACTCACGTTGAAGATCCTCAACAAGTCGCTGTACTGTCCGTGAATGTCGCCACAAACGTTCACCGGCGCGTTCAGCTCGATCAACGGCGATTGGTCCTGGAACGATTGTTTCGCCATGCCCAAAAGCTGATAGACCGCCGCCGGATCGTAGTCCATTCGTTTGGCGCCGCTGATCAGATGGTCTTTGATGAAGGCGCGCAAGTTTATCGGCTTCATCTGGTTTGCGGTCATCACTCGGGACATTCGAGAGCTGTTGGCCTGAAGGTAGAGTAATATAACTGTAAAAAATGGAAAATAAAGTTGGAAAATGGATCCGAGATTTTTCTTGTGCCATCAAAAGAGCTTGTGGAGCAATTTAAGCTGCAAATATATCAACTTTTCCGGCAAACTTCAAAAAAATAATGTAAAGATCACAATGGAAGTAGCCCAAGTGCGACGCTCAGATTTTCCTTAAATTTTGCGCATACGTCAGACATAGCCGATATATCAATTCCTGAAAGTTTTAGCTCTCGCTTTGCATGGGCAGCCGAGATATTCAACAATCTTTGCGGCCGAGAGAGTACGCGAAATGCGGAGAGCGGTCAGAGAGAAGACCTTTTTGATCGTATCTTTGGCAGTTTCAGCGGGAAAAAATTGATTTTTTGTGAAATCATTATTCTCTACAGTAGAAACAAGTACAGGGTGTTCCAAGAATTATGGAAAAAACTATTCTTTAATAACTTTGTGCTCGGTGGCCCAATCGGAAAATTTTCTTTTGCATTTTGCAGAAAAACCTTGGAGTTTTTAGAATCAAAAAAAAAATTTTTGTTTTATCGGCGGAGACTTCCGTAATCCGCCTTGAATTCGGCGGAGTGCTTTTTCACAACGAGGCTGTAAAAATTGGTTCATTTTTGTCCCCGCCGATTTCTCCGCCGAATTGCCTTTTTTTTCTTCTCCCAGTGGGCCGAAGACGTAATAAGTCGTATTTAGGTGCCATGCCACCAGGAATACCATACGTTTTGGTTTTAGCCAATTTTGACTCTCCAAAGTCGAAGAAAAATCGTCCGCCGAGGTTAAAAAATGTATCCGCCGAATGACAAAAATTTGAAATAAATGTCATATTGTATCTTCTGAATTCTTTCCCACCTATTTTCTTCACACATACAACAATTTACAGCCTCATTTGTGAAAAAAACACTCCGCCGAATTCAAGGAGGATTACCGAAGTCTCCGCTGATCAAAGCAAAAAATTATTTTTGATTCTAAAAACTCAAGGGTTTTCCTGTAAAATGCAAAAAAAATTTTTCTAATTGGACCACCAAGCACAAAGTTATTAAAGAATAGTTTTTTCCATAATTCTAGGAACACCCTGTATAAGACTTTTCATGTCAAAATTCGCAAAAAAAGCGTCGCATTTTTTCAAATTTCGATGTAAAAACCTCGGTTGTTTCTGCAAAGCGCGAGCTAGAATTCTCGCATAAGTCTTAGAAAAAAATTGTCCAAATTTGTGACAAGTTTCATCAAAATTTGAAGGTCGCAATTGGGGTACCCTACAAGCCAAAAATTTAGTTTTTTTAGCCTATCGAACTCGACTTTGAACTTGGCTTGTGCTTTTAGTTTTGCGCGAAAAAATCCCCTTTATGAATGCTCTAAAGTCCTCCCAAACCCACCTTGGTGGCATCCGGACACAGCGACTTCTCCGCCGCCGGCTCGCCCACTTCCTTCTGCGTCTTCTCCTCCGCGGGTTTGCACTCCTCGGACGCCGTGGACACGTCCTTCGTCGGCGGATACAGCAGGTCGGCGCGCTCGCGGAACGACATGCTCTTCATCGCCTGCTTCGTGGGCAACATGGCGCCCGGCATGGAGCTGGGCCGACGCGACGCCAGTGGGAAATCGGAGGCAAGACAGCCGGCCTGGCTTCGAGCAGTTTGAAAATGAAAAAAATCAATAATTTTTTTTTGAAAATGAAAAAAAACAATTAAATTTTTTCTTGATTTTTCGAAGTTTTTGAAAATCAATTTGATAAAAATTCCCAGAAAGGGCTCAAAACAGCAAAAGCGAAGGACATGGAGCTCCATGGAGTAGCTCTGTAGGCATAAAGCTACAATAATTTGCTTTTTTTGCTATTTTGCAGTCGTTTATGTTCATTTTTTCGTTTATTTTTTACAAAGGAAGTGCTCTCAGTGTGATACTCAGATTTTGATGAAACTTGACACAAATTTAGAACAATCTTTTCTAATCCCTATGCGAAACTCCTAGCTCGCGATTTGCAGAAACAACCGAGATTTTTCGATCGAAAGTTGGTGAAAATGTGAAAATTTTTTTTCGAATTTTGGCACGAAAAGTTTCATGCTTATTTCTACCATAGAAAGTAATGTTTCCACAAAGAATCAATTTTTTCCGCGCGAAACTCGCAAAGATATGGCCAAAAAGGTCTTTTCTCTGACCGCTCTCCACATTCCGCGTGCTCTCTCGGCCGCAAAGATCGTTCAATATCTCGGCTGCCCATGCAAAGCGAGAGCTGAAACTTTCAGGAATTGATATATCGGCTATGTCTGACGTATGTGCAAAGTTTAAAGAAAATCTGAGCGTCGCGACGCGTCGCACTTGGAGTACTTCTCCTGTTACCTTTTTTATTTCAAAACCTAATTTAAATTTCAAAAGCAATGTTTTTACGATTCATAATTGATAAGGGACATGTGCATATTGATAAGATCACACGGAGCCACGAAATGGATGGAAGAAAGATCATTTATTCAGCAAATTTTATGAGGAAAGATCAGTTTTCAAGGAAAGGCGATTATTTTTTGAAATTTTATTTTTTGAAAGGACATTTAATTAATTATTTACTGTAATAATAAAAAAGAAACAGTAAATTTTCTTTAGCCCGGCTTCAAATTCAACCAAAAAAATTTTGCAAAATTTTGCACAGTGCAGCCAAAAAAAAATTTTCTGGCTAAAATACGAAGTTGATGAATTTTTTTTGACTTTAAAATTAGATAAGATCAATTAGAGATGACTAATTTTACATGTAGTATACAAGGTATATAAATTTTCAGGCATTAATGGCCATTTTTGGCTTCAAAAATTTTCGAATCTGCACTGTGCGTTTTCGTCGAATCAAAAATGTTTAAAAAATTTTAATTTTTTTCTAAATTCTTTGAAGTTCTTCCCCAAATTTGGCCGATATTTTTGCAGAAAAAAGTTTATATCTTTATCGAAGCCTTCAATTTGTTTGCCGGTTCGCTTCGGCATTGGATAAGTCCACTTGTCCTTTTGCGGAGTTACAGATCCGGAAATTACGACTTTGTTTATTCGGGGGGAAGAAATTGAAAGACTATTGCACTGATGCGTCCTGACATTTTAGATGATATCAGTCTGTCGGGGAAAAAAAAGTGAGCGCAATGTCGATTTTTGTCATTTGCACTGTGCAATAGGTTTTTTTCGCGTCTCGACTTTTCGGGTTGGCGACAGTTCGGGCCAACGCAAAATCGATCGATACATGGCGTAAGGCAAGTGGATACCGGAAAAAAAGGTTGTACGAAGTGCCTACAAGGTCTGAGAGCCGTTGTATGGTCGGCGGACGCTCAGCGAAGGCTTGGCGGAGACTTGGCAAAGACTTCCGATATGCCCACTTTTCTAACTTTAGCTATTACTAACGTTCGTTTTCTTTACCCTGAGGTTATCTAATCTATAAAAGTCCAAAATTTGCGGCAAAAAACGAAGATCCATAACTTTTATCCAGATATTATTGAGTGTACATGTCAAATACCTCGAAATAGGTGGTAAGCTCTCCTAGGACCCGGTCAGTATTATTATTTCTGCTAACTAAGCTTTCTCCAAGCCTTCCTCGTACATACAGCAACGAACTGAGGCGATCCGTAGCATCATTGAACTGTTGCTGACTCGAAAAGCGCTCGTCGCTGGCACCCTAACTTTTCCGGACAGTGCAAACGCCAAAAAGCAGTCCGGGGGGGATTTCCGAAAGGCCTAGTACTATTATGACAGACGGATGGATGCTTTTTGCAGTATTTTTGCAAAAATTTTTTCAGTTTTTTCAAAAATTTAAAATTAAAATTTTTCGAGATTTTTTAAAAATTTTGGTTATTTTTGATAATAATCTGATCTATAAGGCTATATCAGTCTGATTTTGAATTATTTTTATAGTCTTCATTAAAATTCTCAGGTATTTTTCAACGAAATTTTGAAATAAATAATTTGTTTTCGCCCCCTAAAATAAGGTGATTTGACCCGAAAATATTGATTTTATTGTTTTCCCTCAGTTTCAAAACCTTGTTTTCTTCAGATATAACTTCATGGTTAAATTTCCCATATTTCTACCACTACTATTGCTCATTACATTCTCATGCGATGCAGTTAAAGTCGACCTGATCTCAGGGCCAATTCGAGGGAAACTCGAGAAAATAAACGGCCAACAAGTGCAAGTGTTCAAGGTAGACCACTATTCATTCGTTATTTTTTGATTTTTAGGGGGTACCCTATGCCGCAAAGCCCATTGGAGCGTTGAGATTTCAAAATGCTCAGCCGGCGGAGCCTTGGAATGAGACGATTTTAACGACCGAATACTCGCCCGCCTGCATGTCAAATACGTCGCAGACAACATCGCCGCAAAGTTATATCAGCGAGGACTGTCTGTACATCAATATCTGGGCGGATCTGCGATGCAGAGTGAGAGTTTTGAGTGCTGGAAAAGGTCTAGAAAGCCAGAATGAAGCAATTTTTTTGCACGTCGATTTTTCGGAAAGCAGCCTTTAGAATTTGTTGAAATTTAAAAAGCAAGCGTTGTCTAGACCATATTTCAAGTCCTGAAAATCTTAGTTGCCCAGTTACAATGGCGGCTAAGATATTCAGCAATCTTTGCAAGTGCAAAAATGGGAACCGAGGCCAGGAAAAAAGATACCTTTCCTGTAAATTTCAAACAACAAAATCACGATTTTTTTACTATATTTTTTCAGAACAACCCTTGCCCAGTTGTATTCTACCTTCACGGCGGTGGCTTTCACTTTGATTCGGCCACCATGTTCAACGACACGGAGATTATGAGCAAGTTTGCGAGCGAGCGACTTGTCTTCGTTGTGCCGGCCTTCCGGCTCGGACTGTTTGCGGTTTTGGATCTGGGCGAAGAGCTGCAAGATGCTCCATATAATGTGGGGCTCAATGGTATTTTATTTTCTTTTTCTTTGTTTCTGCACAACGCGATTTGTGCAGGGCCGGTTAGGATGGAAATTAGTTGGAAAAAAAGTTTTTTTCTTATGTCACGATTCGAGAAAAGTAAAATAATCGATAATAGTATGCCTTTATTGCACCTCAACTGTCCTTTCCAGACATAATATTTGCCTTGCGATGGGTGCAAACCGAGATTTCCAAGTTCGGCGGAGACCCGAAAAAGGTGACCGTCTTCGGCAACAGTGGAGGTGCGTCTGTTGTATCGGAGCTCCTCGTGTCTCCGGCAGTGTCGACTGACTTGTTTTCTCGCGCCTGGGTTGCCAGCGGATTACCCATCCTCGAGCCTCATTTGAATCTCAACACATCGGATGTGATTGCAACGCAGGCTGGGGTAAGTTTTCTAAATAGAAATTTGAGAGTTTGGCCAGGATTTGGAGGGCTTTATAGGACGTCGAGGTCATGAGAAATATGAAAACAAGTTTTAAAAACTAAATTTTGTTTGTTTAGAAGCAAAAAAGTGAAAAACGTGCAATGCCAAGTCATTCGGGTTTTCGTGGTGGGACCAAAAGTCAGTTTTCAAAACTGCTCAATGGCGGGGAAATTTTTATTTTTCGAAAAAGCGAGGATATTTTGAAGGTATTTCGAAAAAATTGGAAAATTTTATTTCATGTCCTAAGGGTAAAAATGGCAAAAAATCAAGTTTTCTCCCAAGAAAGCCCTAATAATTAACAGTCAAATTTTGGTATAACAAATCGCAAAAAACCGAAAAAATTGTTTGTTATGGATGAGCTTTTTTGTGTAGAGATTCATTTCGCCCTAAAATTGGCGCTTGGCACCTCAGAAATTGTTTGTTCTAGACAGGTTTTGTTGTATTGAAAATAGTTAAAATTCTCCTTATTACGAAACCAGCCAGTAACGAACATTTTTAAATCTCTCAAAAGTCTATTTTATAGCCAAATGAACCTCTTTACAACAAAATCTCTATATAACAAACAAAAAAATTTATTTGTTATACGGAGATTTTTTAGTAACTTTGACTGTACTAACTTTATTTTACAAGGAAAGTACTTCTATGGGGTGTGGAGTTACAGGTCGAGATATATATCAAAAAATTCGCAAAAATTTTCTGATTCAGACTATATAAAAATTAGCTGCCTAATTTTGGTCTATCAACGAATTTTATCAATAAATGTATTTCTCGAGGAAAAAAATCTGCGGCAACAAAAGCGCGCTCGGTCTCTTCCCTCGGAAGAGAGCGGTGTGGCCGAGTGGTTAGAGCGCTAGGTTGGAAATCCGAGGGGAACGGGTTCGATTCTTTTTGCCACACTAGAACCCATTTTTTACGTTGGAACTACTTTTAAGGTGTAGTTGTAATCCAATTTGATATTTTAAGGCTTGCCAAGGCCTCAGAATTTATTTTAACACAAAACAAAATTTTTTTATTAGTAAAAACAAGGTCAAAAAGACACTTGCATGGTGTCGCGAGAAAACTTCTGAGGACAAAAACATGTCACCAGACCAAAATTAGGCAGCTAATTTTTATACATTCTGAATCAGAAAATTTTTGCGAATTTTTTGATATATATCTCGACCTGTAACTCCACACCCCATAGAAGTACTTTCCTTGTTAAACTTTTCCGAGTGGAGATTTTAATTTTTTTGATGTTTTTACCTCCAGGGCATGACTGTAATTTTAGTGTCCAAAAACCGAAAACATCCGAGCCCGTTTGGAATGTCTGCGAAGTGTGCCCGCCGAGCGCATAAACAACGCCGCCCGAGAGACCGAGCTCACCCGATGGGAGAAGATCGGAGTCCAATCCGACTCACACAACCTTCCTGGCCGCAGTTTCGCCGACCTGGTCCAGTATTGGAAGCCAATCCCGGCTGTGTTCAGCGTCACCGCCAGAGAGCTGGTGTTTCAACTCAAAACCCTCGAGTATTACTGTGACGCGTACACGAAAATGTTTGGCTATCAATCGGCGGAGGTGGTGGACGAGTGCTTGAAGAGATATGGGAACAACACCGAGAGATTGTCACCAGAAATTATGCATGCCATTGCGTACTTCCAGGCCAAGGTGAATGTGCTGCGGTAAGGTTGGGGGAGAGCTTGATGCTTTGAGGAAGGATTGGCGCCTCTGGCGAGACTTGAAATCCTAGATTTAAGTCCAAGTTAAGGTCTTTGCATGGTTAGAAAATATCGAGTTCAAGTTCGCGTCCCGGCTTTTCGGGTCGTCGACAACTCTGGGTCAATAAAAAAGTAATCGATTCGGGGCGTAGGGCAGGTGGACACCCAAAAAAAAGCTTGTAGCAAGTGCCTACGAGGCCTGGCAAATCCGTTGAATGGTCGACGGACGCTCGGCGAAGGCTCGGCGGAGACTTGGCGAAGACTTGCAATATGTTCACTTTTTCTAACATAAGCTCTTACTAACGTTAGTTTTCTTTACCTTGGGTTATCGTAACATATACTCCGCGTACAATGTTTTGACCCCCCTCCTAACTCGGTCCAAAGTGTACTAATTCGGACCAAATTTGGCATGTAGTATACTCACAGGCTAGTAACAAAAAATAACATAGCAGGACATACCTTATAGTTGAATTTAAGAATCTAGGGGCAATTTTCAAAAATCACCTTAAAAAATCGAGGAAAAAGTTTTGACCCCCCTTAAAAAAAAGTTAGATATCGCCAGCGGATGCCACGCAAACCTATTGTAATCGACGTCCCATACCTGAATACAGGTTAATAAATGGTTTTCCGTTGAATGCTTCGTTGCATTTGAGGATTCAACGCGTTAAACCGTTTTTGATGTAGAGGTGCCCAAAATGGTAAAAATCTTCCCCTAGCGTTTTCCAAGAGCTCTAAATTGGGTTTATATTTTGTGATTTAGACCTGTATTTACCTTCTCCTTTCGATAAAAGTGCATGATGGCCTGGGAGTGTAGATTCGGCAGATACCCTCTTGTCATGCCCAGCCTTGGTGAGCCATTTGCTCTCTGACTCAAGGTCGAGATGTGGTCGTTAGGTCCTCAATGTAATCCTGAGACTCCTATTTACTCTCAGTAATGTAAAATGTTTTGATTTGACACGTTTTGTAATGGGTTTCATTCACCTTAATCTTAAGTTTGCCGTTACTGTAGATGACCCCGAGTACGATGACATCCCCACCTCCCATTTGGCGTTTCATACGTCTCAAATGAGTATGGTGGGTGCTGTAGCGTCTTAAATTACCTGGTCCATCAAATGAAAGCCGTTTTTGGTGGCTAAAAATCCATTTGAAAAACGCTGGTTTTTCGTTAAGGCGCAGATCGGCGAAGTTGCGCCTGCAAACCATACGAGACCGTGTCAGCGGGAGTTTATTCTTTGTTTGAGAGTAAATAGGAGTCTCAGGATTACATTGAGGACCTAACGACCACATCTCGACCTTGAGTCAAAGAGCAAATGGTTCACCAAGGCTGGGCATGACAAGAGGGTATCTGCCGAATCTACACTCCCAGGCCACCATGCACTTTTATCGAAAGGAGAAGGTAAATACAGGTCTAAATCACAAAATATAAACCCAATTTAGAGCTCTTGGAAAACGCTAGGGGAAGATTTTTACCATTTTGGGCACCTCTACATCAAAAACGGTTTAACGCGTTGAATCCTGAAATGCAACGAAGCATTCAACGGAAAACCATTTATTAACCTGTATTCAGGTATGGGACGTCGATTACAATAGGTTTGCGTGGCATCCGCTGGCGATATCTAACTTTTTTTTAAGGGGGGTCAAAACTTTTTCCTCGATTTTTTAAGGTGATTTTTGAAAATTGCCCATAGATTTTGAAATTCAACTATAAGGTATGTCCTGCTATGTTATTTTTTGTTACTAGCCTGTGAGTATACTACATGCCAAATTTGGTCCGAATTAGTACACTTTGGACCGAGTTAGGAGGGGGGTCAAAACATTGTACGCGGAGTATATAAAAGACCAAAATTTTCAGCAAAAAAAAACGAAGATCCATAACTTTTATCGTAGATATTATTGATGTGAGTACATGTAAAATAATAGGTGATAAATAGGTGATAAACTATCCTAGGACCCTGTCAATCTTATTGTTTCTACAAATTAAGTCTTCCCCTAGTCTCCTCCATGCACACATCAACGAACCGAGGCGTTCCATAGTGTTTACCTTAGAAGCTTCCGGAGGCCAGTACCTGACGGTATAAAAATGCTTAGTATTCCTATTATCATCGCATCCAAGAATGGCCCAGATCGGGTTATGGTGGGATTTTTTATCGAGTTCTGAAGTAACCCTTGGATGATCAGAACTTCTGTTTTATTTATCAGTCTGTCGGGAAAATAACGGCGGATCGTCGCAGCAAAATGTCTCGCCTTGCCGCTATCGCGCACCAAATCCCAAGCTTGCAGTCGCAAGGCGATGATGGGCGATTCCGAGGCGCGACGATCCGCCGTTTTTTTTCCCGACAGACCGATACTAGGGTATCCCCTTTTATTTCGATCCGGAGGAGGCTTGTATTGCTGGGTTAAAGGGTCATTACAGCTTTTAAAATAATTAATAGTTTTCTTGCTCTTTATGATTCGTTATACAGAGGTTTCACTCTTTTTTCTCTCAGCTCCGGGCCAACATATTTCATGGTGTGGGCCCAAAAGAACCATGACAAACACGCCAATGAGATGGCCTACTTTTTTGGACTTCATCCGGTGATCAACAAAACCGAGGATGATTTGGAAATGGAAGCCTTCTTCCCTCCTGTTTGTCGCAACTTTTTCAACGGCGAAGTGCCGTTGGAAGGTGGGGCTAGACACGTTTAAAATCGTATTACTTGCAGACTGGGATCAAGTGGATTATAACGGACGAAATTACTATTACTTCAACTTTGACGGCGAGGAAACTCCGCACATGGTCAAGAACGGGGTCTACGACGTGGAATCGATAAAGTTTTGGCTTTATCATCTCAAGGAGGTGGAGGAAAAAGGCACCCGGGTTCAAAGGTCACTTCGTAGGGCTATTGTCCATCGAAATACGCTGGCGTCAGAAAGTAGCGGGAGCGGAAAAAGTGGGAATAAGGTGAGTTACATGTACCAAAGGAACAACAGGGAACATTGTCGTTTGGGAAAGCGATGACTGGGGAGTGAAGAGCGCTTTTTGACGCTGTCTTAAAAGTTTGCTGAAAATCACAGGGCGCAGCTCGAAAACAAGCTGAAACTTAGCTCCGGCGAGCTGCAAAAACTTGTTTTCCGAGCTGCCCCCGATATGCGAGCTGCGCCCGTGCCAGTTTTCCCAGATGCGCCCTACGTTTTTTCTCTTGGGGAAGGAAGCATTCTGCCACATTTTTGATACTTCCCGGATGCAAAATGGTACTTTTTTTGCCACTGAATCAGGCTACCACTGCATGTTTGTTAGAAAAAATTAATTTGTCACAAGCTTCGTCAAAATCTGGTCGTCGCACTTGGAGTAAAGATAAAAAAAAGGCAAAAGAAGTTCTTTAACCCCTCCATTGTCACTTTCCCAAATTGCCGAAGCAAGTGGATTAAAACAAGTGTTAAAAAAGTCCGTTCAGAAGTACCAAGACGCTGAGCAATCGGTGCCTCTGCTCACCGTACTCACCATCCTCATCGTCGCCGCGTTCGTCTTGGCAACCGTTGCGTTCACGTTGAGTGTGATTCAAATGTGCTGGGGCTGGAGGAAACGCCGAGTACAACCAGATCTTGAAGAAGAAGAAATGAAGATTCTACGGAGATATGACGACGACTTTCCTAAATATGTATTTTGAGTATTTTGGGTGTCCCAGAGGATCTCTGGTTTTTTGTGTATTGTATATTTTTTTGACAGTTTTATGAGATATTTAAGATCAGGCATAATAAAGTTGTGTTAGTATGATCTAAAATATGGTCTTTGCTAAATAATATGCTGTTAAAATACGGGTGGCCACAGAAAATGCAACCTTTTATTTCAAACCAATCACATCTGCGCTCCAGATCCCCAGCCAAACCTCCAACGACGTCTCAACGTTTGCTCACAAACTTAAGACCGCGTTGCAACCACCTACTTTTGCGCGCTTCTCCTTTCGCTGAGGTGTAAACACTGTGATTATAAGAGCTTATGAAAATAAAAAACAAAAACGCTGATGATGACAAACAATCCACGTCGGGTTTGCGCGGGTTTATTCTGCATAATACAACAGAAGTCGGGTTTGGGTTGGAGTTTGGGGTAGATTGTAAGAGTTCGGGAGGACATGGCAATCCGGCTGGGCCTAGTTTTTACCGGGCTTTGGGCTCGAATTTGGAGTTTTGGTCCAAGGCCGGGTTCCCGATCATGCCAGGAATTTTAAGAAGCCCAATTGCTGTAAAAGGTCCAGAATATCAGCATGAAGCAATTTTTTGGCACACCGATTTTTTGGAAAGCAGCCCTTAGAATTTGTTGAAATTTGGAAGGCACGCTTTCACTTTCAAGTTCTGAAAATCTTAGCTGTCCCGATGCTTATTCACAAGGGAAGTACCCCCAGTGCAACGCTCAGATTTTCTTTAAATTTAGCACATTCGTCGGGCATAGACTCGGTATCAACTTGATTCCGTCCAAGCTCGCGCTTTACAAGCGGCACCGAGATATTGAACCACCTTTGCCGCCGAGAGAGTACGCTAAACGTTGAGAGCGGTCAGAAAGGAGAACACTTTTTGGCCATAACTTTGCTGGTTTCGTGCGGAAAAAAATGATTTTTTGTAGAAAAATTATTTTTTACGGTAGAAATAGGCATGAAACTTTTCGTGCCGAAATTCGGAAAAAAAGTCCTAAATTTTGGCCGACTTCCGATCTAAAAATCTCGGTTGTTTCTGCAAAGCGCGATCTAGGATTCTCGCATATATCTTAGAAAAAATTATTCTAAATTTGTGTCAAGTTTCATCAAAGTGTGCAAAATTTAAAAAAGAAAATCTGAGCGTCGCACTTGGAGTACTTCCCCTGTCAGCTACATTGCGGTCATTATTTTCCAGACAGACTGATAAATTTCACATTTCAAACTGTCATTCCCCTCTTTCTGTCCTCCAGCCTCCTCCAGTCATCACTCAACACATTTGGGCGGTCATCGATCTGTGATGCGCGCCATCTCGGAACAGCAAATTCGATATTCACCCAACCGATAAACGCGTCTTCACTCCATTTCGCTCAATAAAATCGGATCGGCGAGGGACGAAAAAAAAGTTTTAAATCCTTTGTGACATTTTATGCAAAACTCCCCTCCCCGCTTTTTGCGCAATAAACGTTTTGTGGGGCTGGGATATTATAAATCCGTAGCCGATGGGGTGGTGTTTATGACTGCGGGATGGGTGAGTGAACGCTTTGAATAGGAATGCGGGGTATTGAAGGGGGATTTGGATGATGTTTAAGGAGTTTTCGTTTAATGGGCTTTAAAAATTTACCTTACTTTAGACAGAAGGTGTTCGTTTTCTTTGAAAAGTGAATTTCTGGAGGTGGAAAGCTCGGATTTGCTTTAAATTTTGTTTTGGCAATCTGTATAGGGCTAAGATTAAAATACGAAAATTTTAGCTCATGGTTTGAACGAGAAGCCGAAAAATTCAATCATTTTTGACGACCAAGTTCAATGGAAAATGAGGAGAGGCGCACGTCAAACTGAGGAGTCCGGTGGCCGGAATAGACTCTTCGCTATCGTTTTTTACACTTCGTCTTGAATTCACAGAGAAGTCAGAGAAAAAGACGCGAAAAAACGTACTCTCTCACCCCAAAAAAATCCCCATTTCTTCCCCGACTAAAAGTTTTTTGGGTCCTTTATGGCGGATTGCCAACCTATCCCGTCTGAGCCTCTCTCAGTTTGACGTGAGGCGGTCAGAAAAAACAGTTTCTTGGCCCTACAAATTTTGTTCACAGGGGAAGCATTCCAAATGGAACGCCCAGAATTTGATGAAACTTGGAAAAGATTTAGAACAATTTTTTGTATGTCAGGTATGGGACTCTTAACTCGCGCTTTGTAGAGACGACCGAGCTTTTTAGGTTGAAATTTGGCAAAAATTTGACTCTTTTTGGCGAATTTCGGTGTGAAAAGCTTCGTACTTATTTCTACCATAGAGGGTAATGTTTCCACAAAAAATTAAAATTTTTCCGCACGAAAACGGCCAAGATATAGGCAAAGTAATATTTTCTCTCCCGCTCATTTTTCGATTTGGGCGTCGACTCTTTTGAGCACCGACAACCGCGATTTTGGAAAAAATTTTAAGCGCTTATATGAACACCTTTGTTTCTACTGTAGAGGGTAATGTTTCCACAAAAAATCATCTTTTTCCGCACAAAACTGGCAAAGATACGGCCAAAAAGTGTTTTTTCCTGACCGCTCTCCGCATTTCGCGTACTCTCTTGGCCGCAAAGAACGTTGAATATCTCGGCTGTCACCGCAAAGCGCGGGCTAAAACTTTCAGAAACTGATATGTGACCTAGACCTGATGTGTGTGTAAAATTAAACGAAAAACCAAGCGGTCCAACATGCGTTGCGTACAAAATGTAAAGAAAATCTGAGCCGTTCCTGTTAATTCTACAAGTCTTGGAGCCCCCCAAATTTTATGCAAATTTCTCGCCCTCCCCGTTAATCTAACTTCTCTCCTCCGTTAATTCGCCGCTCCCGTGGGACAACAAATGGTTTATAGTCCACTATTTTGCGCCTTTCGCGTATCGTTTTGATTCCCGTTTGGTGGGAAAGTACTTTGTTTATAACCGCCCGACTTTTCGACCACAGTAATTGAACGTTTTCCATTGATTTTTATAAACAAAATCGTAAATTGCGGAGAAATTTTTGAAAGTCAAAATTATGTTTTGAAAAAAATGCTTTTGACGCTTAGCTAAGCGTTGAATATGACTCAATCAAGATATTTTGGTGAGTTGAAAAGAAAAGTTTTGTCTTACGATGATGAGCGTTTTGTAGCTGTTACGAAGTTAGATTATACCCAAGTCATGGAAGGGAAAACATATTCGCTTTTTACAGGGGAATTACTCCAAGTGCGACGCTCAGATTTTCTTTAAATTTTGTACACACGTCGGGTATGGACTGAATATCAATTCCTGAAAGTTTTAGCTCGCGCTTTGCGGGCGCCGCCGAGATATCATGGCCAAAAAGTGCTTTTCCTCCGACCCCTCCCCGCATTTTGCGTACTCCCTTGGCGCAAGTGTCGTTGAAGCCCTCGGCTATGCCTGTAAAGTGTGATCTAAAATGAGTGTTTTTCAGTGGTTTAATTGGTTTTTTTCAACTTTTTTCCAAATTGGGGAAATTTTCCGAAATAATTTTTTGGCACATGACTTGTAGGACCTTAACGCATATTGGTGCCAAATATGACACATTTCTATTGACGAGCAGAAAAGCTACCGCAATTTTCCAAATTTTGTGCCAATTCTCATCAAATTCTGAGCGTCGTACCTGGAATTTCCCTATTAGATTTTAAAAAAATTTTATCATAAAAACTCTAAATCTTCCTTTGTTACTTTCCTCGTACTGTATTATTATAGGAATTATATGTAGTTTCGTTCTCCCTCAACGTTTACCCCACCCCCTTCCTAACTCATCCCCTTTCTCAGCCTCTCACTTAATCCTCAGACAACAAAAGTCAAGTCTTCGGGTTCCTTTGCTCCTGTAATTGTGTGATTGTCTTGAGTAATTGCTAGCCCCGAAGACGGTCGCTTAGGGTTCTATTTCGAGGGCGGATTCCGCAATTATTGCATGAAGAAGAGTGGGTCAAGAGCAATGGGAATCTGTCGTTTTCCGAGGGTTCAGACGCCAGTTTCGCCCGACCTTCCTGACGCCGTTGCGCTGAGGAAACGTCGTAAAAATGATGTTTTGTAAGGGATACTTTGGAGGGGAAAAAATTTTGTTTTTTGTTGAAGATCGATAACAAATTCTATGTGGGTCCGATTTGGACATTTTTTGGGTTTAACGGTAGTAGGACTCCTTTGTATTATAAAAAAAAATATAAGGGTAATGCCAAAGAGGGTACTTTTGAACAGCAAAAGAAAAGAAAAAATTTTAAAAAAATCGATTTCTTCACATTTTTTTCGTTTTTTAAACCTCTTATCACAAATATTCACCTTTAAAATTTCCAAAAATTCAGCTGAAGCTCTAAACAGTAGTTTTTCACGAGGCTCATCACATGTTTTTAAAAGTTAATAGGAGAAGTGCTCCATTTTTATAAAACGTGCGGACTTCTAGCTCGTCTTGCAGAAACAGCCGAGATTTTTTGTCAAAAAATAAATTTTTTTTGCGAATTTTGGCATGAAAAGTTGTTTGGCTATTTCTACCGTAGAGAGTGATGTTTCCACAAAAAATCAATTTTTTCCGCATGAAAGTGGCAAAGATATGGGCAAAAAAGAGTTTTTCCTCTCTGACCGCGCTCCGCATTTTGCGTACTCTCTCTGAAGATAGTCTGATTTCTCGGCTGCGGCTGCAAAGCGCGGGCTAAAACTTTCAGGAATTGATATGTAGTCTATGCCTAGAGCGTGTGCAAAATTTAAGGAAAATCTGAGCGTTGCACTTGAGGTAATTTAAAAAAAAAAAAAAAAATCAATTTTTTCAAAAATAATGTTTTTATCTTTTAGACGGATTTTTATATCTTATCATCAATATTTACCCCAAAAAATTTCAAAAATTTAGCAGAAGCTGCACACAGCAGTTTTTCGCGCCGCTAATCGCCCCCTCGCGCATCCATTTTTTATCCCCCCGCGACTTTTGTTTATCCGGCGTTCCCCCACCGAAAAACCGCTGCAGTAAGTGGGTACCTGCAG